CCAGGAACAGACCATATATATATACATATAGGTGGCAAATTTAGAGTGCCAAATACGGTCAATATGCTGTAAAGTGGAAGCTACCTGTGCAAGGAAAAATACATCATCCAATGATTTTTTGTCCAAAAAGTAAAACAGGCAAAGCAAATTATTAAATTATGCATTTAAAATTATATTGGGGTACAGAAAAAATGTCACCCACAGGCACTCGACCCCCAGGATGGCTATCAAGAACAAAAGTGTATGAGTGGTACAACCACTTTAGATGTGGCCATGAAAGCATTGAAGATAAAGGGTGCCCTTCAACTTCAAAGATTGAAGAAAATGCGTTGTTTAGTAGAAACTAAAAGATGTGTAACAACTCAGTGACTTTCAGACATGCTTGGGATAAGCAAAGAAAGCTGTTGGTTAATTTTAACTGAAAATTTGAAATGAGGAAAGTGCTCGATATGTGCCTCAGATTTTGACAGAACAGTAAGAAGAAGACAGAAAACCTTACCTTGAAGATTTGCCAACTACTGCGAGACAGAACAATTTCTTAATAGTGTATCATAGCAGGAGATGAGACCCGGTGTCTACAGTATGACACAAAAAGACAAAAGTGCATAGTTGAAAGGATAGTCTTCTATACAAAAAAAGAAAAAAGCATGGATTCTGAAATCAAAGACTAACATGATATTGACTGCTTTTTTTTTTCTCCTGATTATGAAGGAATTATTCACAATGAATTTGTCCCTGAAAATCAATCAATTAATCAGTATTTTTACAAGCAGAAGCTTTTTTGATTTAAAAAAAAGGCTAAGGTGAGTTAGGATGGAATGCTTTGATTCTGAGCAATGGTTTCTTTTACATGATAATGCTAGGCCTCATACAGTAATGTCTGTACAGCAATATTTTGCTAAACATTCATCTGCAGTGATAAATCACCCACCCTATTCTATAAACTTATTGCCAGCTGATTTTTCCTTTTTTGCGAAGCTTAAGATGGTTATAAAGGGACAGAGATTTGGAAACATCTTTAATATTAAATCAAATGTTACACATATTTTGTGAACAGTTAGTTCCAATGCCTATAAACAGTGCTTTGATGACCTGAAGAAATGTTGGAAAAATTCCATAGACTCCTCTGACAATTATTTTGAAGAGGATAAATTTATATGAAGTTTGGCAATATTTTTCTTATTTATAAGAAATTGTCTGATTACTTTACGCACACACCTTGTATTTATAAGAAATGCCCACAGGTTAAATACATCAATAAAAATTCAGAAAGTGTTATTTTTTCTGCCATTTTTTTTTTTTTTTTTCCTTTACTTAATCTATTTTAACTCGAAACTTTGGCAGATATATTCTGTGGTATTCACATCCGAAAAAAAGTATTCAAATGAAAAAAATTCATGGAAATTTAGTTTGGTGTACCGCAGTTAACTTGGCTGAGAGCATTAAAAGTTTAAATACTAAATGGAAATGGGAAGCTAAATTGTCACTTACTACATGATAAGTTGATGTCAAGTACTATTCATATAAAAGAATTTCCTTAACTTCAAAATAGCTGAGGGACGTCATTAAAAATTATACAATTCATAAAAGAAACCAATTTCTTTAAAATTTAGAGTACTGTATGATCCTGATTAAAAAAAAAGGGGGTAAATATTATACCAACTAATACATGCAATGTCAAATTTGTAATTTTTTTCAGATTGGCAGTCATGAGTTAAATGCACAGTTCTAAGCATAACAGTACACGAGGCTATTATCAGATGGACATTGGTATAATGGACTGCACAATATGTTTTGTTACCAACTAACATGTCTATATTTCCTAGGAATTCAGCCCCACCAATAGCTGAGTGGTTAAGACTGCTGAACAGTGGAAGTTCAACAAAGGTTTGTCTGTTACTCAAAGGAAACAGCTCCTGTGTGTTTTGCCATATTCAAACAACCTAATATTCTTAAAAATTCCTATACCTGAGCTTCTTATTTTATTTTTTTTATTAACTCTCCTCACGTTCACACACCTGCACTCATTTTTCATTACTGATAAAGGTCACTAATAATTAAAGCAACTGTTTTCATCAGAATATGCTTAAATATCAGCTGTCATTAATATCAAAATTAATAGACAACACCTGAATACTAATTTCCATATTCCATTCTCAATATATTCATTTGAATCCACTTTGTGCTCCTACAAATATTTTTTATCACTCATTTTTATGATGAGCAATGATAGTAAAAGAGAAAGCAATTACGTAAAAATTCCAGTGATGAATAAATATATATTTCTTATGTTTTAATAATGAGATATCATATTTAAATAACTTGAAAGAATATTATTCATAGTTAACACCTGTCTATTCCAGGATTCACCAAGTTTGCTACTATTTATGAACTCAGCATCATTTGTGGGACAAATACTACCTATAAACAACACGCCTGGATCAAATGTTATAAGCAGATGAAATTAAATATAATGATGTCTTCAAATGTAGACTTCTCTAGGCAACATCAGCGAGGACGAAGTGCTGAACTGCAGAACTAGTGTTAGTTCACCCAACATATGACACAATATCAAATTCAGAAACATCGACAATTAAAGAAACAGTCAGTAAATTATCTCCCACAACTTCAATTTAACCAAGAAAATGATTAGTGGTTTTCTTGGATAAAGTAGAAAATGATTCAAAAGCAGAAGCTAATGAGAAAAAAAGCTGATGTATTGAAAGATTATAATAAATCAAATGACTTTTTTCTCCACTATTAAAAATCATTTCTCCAACTAGACAAAAAAGAAAAATATTCTACTATTTGTAAGATATTTTAGCCTTATCAATGAGATTTAAAATAATCTTTCAGAGTTCACTGAATAAGATGATTTCATAGGTAATGCTACTTATAATGTGATAAAATCTTATCTTGGCGTTCATAAACTAATTCAGAAGTCAAACAACAAAAATCAGCGTTATACTTTCAAAATTTTTACAGGACTAGTTTCAAGGTTTTTAACAAACCACCAGGGTTTGGTAAAACCATTGAAACCAGGGCGAACCAGGGTAGTTCGGTAAAACCATCAAAACTAGTCCTGTGAAAATTTTGAAAGTATAACCCTGATTTTTTGTTGTTTGACTTCTGAATTAGTATTTATTCGGCATGTTATTGTGTCTTCTTCATAAACTAGTTGTAAAAAATGTAATTTTATATTATGCAGATGATGCAGATGTCATCAATGGAAGGCATCATTTTTGGTAATGAAACTTGACCAAAGAAGATGAACATACTACTAAAACAAACTGCCACAATTACATTTTGCATAACATCACAAAATGTCTGATGGACTGAATCTAGATATAGAAATTATTACCTTAAAAATACATAGATCTCTTTCAGTGCAGCAAAAAGAGAAGATTAAATAAATTTATGATTATAAAATCATATTCATGCAAAATGGCTGGAAATTGTTTGCCATACGCCAACTCAGTAGTTTTTACTAGCATCAAGGATAAGTAAATAAAAAACTTATTACTAGCTAACAACTAATCTGAAAATATAAATAATTGTTTAAAAATATAAGGAAGAGATATTTTCAGTAAAGACCTGAGAAAAGAGAGATGCATCTAAATTACTTCTCCCAAAATTGATGCAATACTTGTGCAATTTGCAAAATCCCTTGAAAATGAAAAATCTTAGTATTGTGGTGATTGGAGTTTGATTGTGTAGATTAAATTTGGTAGATCATCATCATTAAACCCATCATCATATTTATTAATATACTATGAAAAGATTAGTAATCGTTAACAGTATTATGAAGAATGCAAACAACATAAACTATCAACTAGGAATTATTTGCATCAGGCAAGTAATAAGCCACTACGCTTTCAAAAGTAAGTGCAGCTAACCAACTCTATTGTACAATGACAGAGTTCTTGCTTAGTAGCACAGTTTTGATAGCACTTTTCTAATTGAGAGTTTCAGAACATTCTTTGCATATTTGCCTTGTCCGATTCTTTTTACAGACTCATTTAGTCACATATTTTTAATTTCTCTGGTATTCAAGCCTTTAAATTGCAGCTTGGATTGTGAATCTTCATATAGATTGCCACAATCTCATGGGATGATTCAATATAACATATTGTTTAGACAACAGAATGCAGGAAAAGGTATAGCAGACAATTTTGTAAACCACTGGGGGGGGACATTAATTAGGCTTAGCAGAAACATGTTATAGGTGATTTTGTTAAATTTTACTTTCCCTTGGGCAAATAAATTTCTATATTTTGATTTATCTCATACAAATCCCATTAATTATTAACTTTTGTCCCTAAATTTGGCACGTGAATCTTCTTTCAGACATATGCATGCAATATTTACACAAAAATTTGATCTTGAAAATTGTAAACAAGAAACATCTGCATGAAAAAGTTTTAACATGTAAAAACTGTTGTAAAGAGAGCCAGGTCGAAGCAAATGCAGCCACTTAGGAATTGATTTTTTTAAAGTTTTCTCACAAATAACAATTATATAAAGGTATATTTTGTTTTTAATTTTTAATATACTTAATGAGAGTCAACTAGCAAAATCTATTATTGTTTTGGCACCTAGAGTGAAAAATGAAAATACTGAGGAAAAAAAAAGTTAATGGATATTTTCTGCCAATGAAAAAGCAATAAAATTAATGCATTAAATCTTAAAAGATTTGCTATTAAAACTCCAAATCTTGCAAATGACAAATGACAAATCTTGCAATATGCACGATTTTTCTCATTAATCAGCAATAAATGATTGACGAAAGAAATTAAAACATTTTAGAGTTAATTAAATCAGATATTAAGGCAGTAATAAATTATGATTGTAACTGTAAAGAGAATTTGCAGTTTGCAGAAGATGAAAAATATTGTTGCATATCAACTTTTGATAAAATAATGTCAAACTTACAAATTTGTAAATTAAATACACCACCATGATCTAAATAATATTTATATAACAAGATGGTACAGTGCCAGTTTTCTTAGTGTGATCCATTCCATGTTAAATATTTGCTGGAATCGCCTTTCTCCCAAAAATTTATGACAATCTGTCATGACTAAATCTCCCTTACTTTCATAATAGAAAGCTGGTCACCAAAACATACTATACCATATATTCTGAAGTTTAACAAAACACACTGTATGGGATACATATACACATACAGTGTATGATATTATATATAAGAAAAAATATCAAAAATAATATGCAATTGGAAGCTCAGGATAAAATAAATAAATAAGAAATTTGTATGTTGCCTAACTGCAAACAACAGAAAGAACTCTGAGTTACATGTGACCCATGGGTCCCAAGCTGTTAGCTTTGTTTTTTAGTACAAAAATTTAACCTGGAGCAAAAATGTTGCACAAAGTAAAATTGCATTCATATTCGTTTCAAAATAAATATCATTTATATGCATTTCAAAATAAATTAATTACATTTATTTTAATAACATTTATCTAAAACATAAAGGCTCTATAAAAATATGATCACAAGACTTTTTTTATAAATTATACCAACATTTTACAAATGCTTTTATTACACACAGTTTCCAACACAATATTTATAATACTCTTAAAGCAGACTGGTACTCTGTAATTATTTCAGCAGTTTCAAATGTCATTCTACCATCAGAATCCTGAGTTATTAGCTGCACAGTTTTACACTGTTCATCTTTTCCCTGATCTGGATAATTCAGAATCAGCAAAGGCTGTCCTGAAGAATCAGCTGTTGCTCCAACAGTTGTATCAACTATTTTGATTAATACAGGTTTTTCTTCAGAAGTTTCAGAATCTTTTATAAGACTGCCACTTGATGAATTAATAACAGATGGACGATTTTGAGGTTCAGGATCTTCTATAAAAGTTTCATTTAATGAAGAACTAATTGTAGATGAATGATTTTGAATCTCAACATCTTCTATAAAAGTGCCATCCAACGAAGAACTAATTATAGATTGGCGATTTTGAAGCTCAGCATCCTCTGTAAAAGTATCATCCAATGAAGAAGTAATTATGGATTGGGGATTCTGAAGGTCGGTATCCTCCATAAAATCTAATGAACAACTAATAACAGATGGGCGATTTTGAAGTTCAGCATTCTCTATAAAAGCACCATTCAAGGAAGAACTAATAACAGATGGTCGATTTTGAAACTCAGTATCATTTCTACTATCTAAGCAGTAAACTACTGACCCATTAAAAATTGGGTTTGTGCTACTGACATGATCATCAGATCCATCACATAGAGGAACACTTATATCACTGGAAAATGAGCCATTCTCTTCAGATTTGTTTTCAAAAGCTGAATTTATAATGTCATCTGGATCATCAACATTTTCAGCATTATCACCCATCATAGCTTGAGAAAGTTCTAAACTTTCATACCTCACAGTCTGAAGTCTATAGAAACCATCTTCATGCAAATGATACCTGAATTAAAAAATAGTAAATAATAAGTAATGTTATCTTTCTAGTAATTGCTTAAAGATTCAAATTACAAAAGCAATATTAGGCTGAACTATTCATTGTACAGTAGAACATACAGAGAAATAAGATTTTCTTATAGAACAGTTTTAGTATTTTTCTATTGATATGGCTGTGCTGCTTACAGTAACTTGTCGAAAAGTAATGTTTAAATACCTTACACAAACTCAAAACATAACTGATTGTGTATACCAATAAAATTCAAAACATAATTGATTATACTATTTATCAACAAAACATTTAAATGAATATGCTCAAGTACACCTACAAGCAGAATATAGACAGCAGGAATGGTGGAAGCAAACCTGTGAGGTTTGCATTGTAGGTGCATGTGGTGCATGAAAGTATTAATGGAAATCCAAATAATGTACAGCATTACTGCCGTATTTCTGATCTTCTGAACTAAATTTCAACAGCATAGCTATATATTTATGCCCAGAACATTTATAAAAAATTTTGATATAATACTTATGAATACATACACCAATTCAAAAAGTGCTTGAAAATTAATAAACAATAGGTGATAACTTTTGTGAGATTTATTGTATAAATATTCTGAACAATACATACATTACAACAATGCTTTGTATAAACATATTATTGCAAACAACTTTGCATTTACTTATTTAAGTTTCAAAAAATATATTTAAAATTAGTTAAATCTCAAAAATACACTAAATCCTCTGTAGGTGATGCTCCAAGACAACCATACTGGGAAGTAACCAGTGTTTCTGAAAGTGTATATAAACAGTGTAACGTACCTTAGAAATAACAATTTTTTTTTAAATTTAGACGAGGCATTAGGCAACAGAATTTAAGAAGTAATTTTTTTTTTTTTTTTAGAATTTAGAGGAGGCAATAGGCAACAGAATTTGAGAAGTAAAAATTTTTCAGAATTTATGGCCATACAGGCAGCAGAATTTAGAATCCACAGAGGTTGCACAGGGCTGCAAAATCCCAGGCCTGTCAGACAATGATCTCTTCAAATAATTTAAATCGTGGATGGTTGTCCTAAAGAAGGTTCATTGCATTCAAAATCTTGTGCTTTTAATTATATTTCAGTCCTTATTTTTACATGAATTTTTTTTAAAATACAGATTTATAAACTTATTCCACAACTAATTAATAATTGGATAAAAAACAATTGTCCCAATAAGCATGAAAACCAGAAAGAAATTATGATGAAATAGATTAGAATTCCTCAATCAGTGGTTTATGCATGTGAGCACTGGAAGGCACTTCTGACTAAAATTAATTTTGTATACTTCAGCTTGACAAAAAAGTAAAAAGCAGATTTGCCTGAAATCGGTTACAATAACTGCGAATAAAAATTAGCTACCCGTACCATGCACATCAGCAAAATCAAATCAAAATGTTATTAATTAGGATTTGTAATGAATAATTACTAAGAGATATTTTTCGAAGAAAAGTGAAAACATTTACAAGGCTGGGCCAATGACTTACAAACAATTTTTACAGAAAATGGAAACTATATGGAAGAAAAATAAAAAATTAGCAAAAAGTATATACCAAATGCAAATTTGGAGAAATGTATTACAGTCAAAAGTCTTTAATCCGGACTCGTCGGGACTTCGGCGATTCCGGATTATCGATTTTTCTGGATTATAGATCATCAGTTTAAATCTGGTAAGATGCCATGCAGAAATTATAAAATTAAAAATATGAAACCGTAATTTATAAAATAATGAGCAATTATGATCTAAAGAGTATCAAAATTTACAAAAAAAGAAGCTTAATATTTATTTGTTTACTTTATTAAACATTTCTTTCAAAGCGCGATTGCGTAAAGCATACCTTACGCATAGCCGAAATTAGAAAATTGCAACCAGAAAACTATTTGATTGGTATTCGTGATATTTATAATGACGAGGAATTTGATTTAAATCATATCAAAGACGGAGTAAATGAGATTAAATACTACATTTAGTAAGGAATTATAAGCCAAATAAAATAAAAAATCTGCCCTGAAGATAACGATAGTGCTGACAGAACAACTTCCAGTTCATTGCGCGCAGCGACGTCCCCCCCCCCCCCCCCCGCGCAGAGCAGGATGAAATTGATAAACAAATTTCGGAACGGTTAGATAAACAAAGGATATGCCTTTATCCATTTTTTGTAGCAATTCGCTTTTTGTTTGATGGACATCGAAACATACTTTCGTTTTCTAGATCCTTTGGGAGCTCCAGCATCGGAAATTCTATTTTACATAATCGAAAGTTCAAGCTTACTTTTATAAAATTGCTCTTACAGTCTGCAAAAAATAATAAGCCGGATCCAATTCGAAGATTAAGGAACAACGCAAACATCAACATTAACTGAAATAGATAATTAGATCATTTTAGCTTATACCGTCCATTATAAATTAAACGCGCACGCGAAAACGTATTCTGCGCTTGTGCAGACGTATATGTGCAGTCGTAAGTGTCTTGCGCGCACGCGTAAAACGCCTATGCGCATTCCAGAGCTTCTGACTTTTAGACTGACATGCTTCCAAGCACGCAACAGAAGCACACAATACAGAAAGAAAATATTGCTTACAGTCTTACAAATGGTGGACTATCAAAATGTACTATTAATTTTCCACAGTATAGAATAAGTTTAAACCTTTCAGGACGGGCATCCCATATACGCATTCCCTAAGAATGTCTCTTACAGAAAGGTGTTCCATCCACACATCACTAGAGATTGCATTTAGAGGACGGGTGATGCGTATATGCATTTTAAGCTGGAATGTTTTTCTGAAGGCCACTAGATGGCATCCTATGTCCAATACTTTTCAAATGAACACAGTTGTAGGTTCCTGACCTTGAGTTTGATATATTCTGCCTGACTTTGGTATTCTACTCATCAATTGTTGTGAGGGTGGGGTGGGGGAAGCGCATAAACAGAGATGGGCTCTTTAAATCACCGTCTGCTAATATGAACATTCGCGTGTCTGATTTATATCCAATTCCTTTTTTATTCTATTTTTCCCTCTAATATGTAGAGTCTTTTAGGATTACTATGTGGAGTTCTGTTACATTTTGCATTGCCTTCAGATATATTTCTGTTTCTTCTCTTTTTATTTCGGAAAGCCTCACCTCCATTCTATTATGGCGGGAAGGCTCTATTTATCAGAGGAAGAATACCCTCATATGGTTAATGAACCATTTACTAATGCAGATGAGAGTGATGATTCATTTTCTAAAGAGTTAGAAAGTGATACTTTTTCTAAGAGTTAGAAAGTGATACTTCTCCGTGCTTCGAGATTTACCACAGTCTTAATTTTAAATTTTGTTACTTTTTACCGTAAATAATCTTTAATGTGTTGCTTTATTATTTTAAACTTTATTGATGGATTTTATCAATTAAAACTTTGGAATAATTTGAATAGCGCTTCCGAAAATTATTTTACAAGATATTTTTTCAAGTACATTTTCATATAAAATAAAGAAAAAACATTATTAAGTGTTAATTTTAACATATATAAGAGCTCAAGTAATAATCTAAAATGATACCAAAAATGACGATGCTAGAAGTGAAATTTTTTTTCTGATTTTTTTTAAATAAAATTAGGCTTAGCAATGCAAAACCTCTATCCTGTACGGTGACTGCCTTCGATTCCTTTTCATCTTGTATCAGCATCTTAAACAAAGGTGTGCCGTCGTGAAAGGGTTATGCACATGAAAAATCTTGAAGGGAGATTAAGAAGAATGAACTTAAAAACAGAAAAATGAAATCAGTATGTTTTCAAACACAGTGCATACATGAAAAGAAGGCAATATGGTTATTTCAAGTCAATAGTTAGGAAATCATTAAACATGTCATAAGAATAATGGGAATTCCTTAAAATGTGTTAAATTATTTGCTTTGTTCCAAAAGTTTAAAGCACTAAGTTCTCTGGCTGAGCACTTGTGTGAATAAAATAGAACATGAGAAAATTATAATGCATTCTGCCATTTGCATTGTTTTAACCTTGAAAGCTTGTATTTTGTTTCAGGTCTAAACTTTATCCCAGTACTATTGTAATACAAATACAGAAAAAAAATATTAAAGTTCAATAATTCTGCCTATATGATTTACATAAATTTCTTGTCACGTGTATTGTTTCTGCACCAATTTAAGTTATTCCTCCCTGATGGATTGATCTTCAGTACAGCATATGTTACAAATGTTCTCTCTTATTTTCATATTTGACAATCATATAAAAGGTACTCCATCAATTAATATTTGTCATTATGACTACTTCTAAATAACTTAATATATCATTTAGGGGTAAAAGAGCATAAAAGTACTATATAATAAATACAATAATTAATGCTTTCTAAAAAGTAATGGAGACAAATTTCTGTCTTTCATCTTAAAGTTGTTTATAAAGTAATCAGAATCAATGAAAAACTTGGGTTTTTCAAGTTGATGACTCTAAAGATCATCATTTATGTTAAGTATTAATTAAACATATGAACTCTGAAAACAGTGTCTCACAGTTACAGGAACTGGGGGTAGGAAAATTTCATTCAAACCCGTTATAATGAAGTGTTACATACCTGGATAATAAAGCCATGATTTACACTGCATTAAATGAATGAACTATGAAATGCTTTGATAAGTATAAGCAGGATATTCTGGCACTGAAGAATCAGTCTTTTGCCAATCTCAGTTTAATAAGTGGTTAACAAACAGTGTTTTTTCTATTGGTTAATATGTATTGGTTCCTAGAAATTTAAGCATAACAAGCAACTGAGTTTATTAACCACTGAATTCAATAAGCAGCAGCTACCCTACATCTGTTAACAGTATTTTTAATTTATGTTTATAATTAAATATTAAAATCATTATATGATACATTTAATAACTACATTTCTTCTCAGTAACATTCACAGTAGTTTACAAATGAATAGATCTCACATTTTTAGATGCATTTATAAATAATTTAACAAATATTTACATAATTTGAAAAATTGAGTTTAGCTAATGAATAGTGCCACAATAATAAAAGTGAAAAATAAAAACATTACAAATATAAGTGAAAAATAAAAACATTACAAAGTACAGTATTTTTAAAAAAAATGCATCAAATCAGCTTACAAAACAAATAACAGCTATCAGTTTAAGAGATGGTATACCTTCGTGAAAGGTGTTGCCCATGGAAAACTGGTCCATGCCTGCGTTATATTAAGAAAAAAATCATAAAAATGCAATGCAGCCAGCTCATTCAAGCTGCTGAAAAATAGAATATAAATCTATAAAAATGGACTAGAAGAATCCATAAAAAACCATCCTCGTCTTTTGTGTTTATCTCCTTAGCATCTGGTGAATCAGCATTTAAAAATATTTTTATTATTTAAATATGTTCATAACATAAATTATTAGAATAAAAATATACTATTTTATGCTTCCTTTTGTTCTTTAACAAGAAAAATATAATAGCTATTAAATGATCAACTGAACATGACATCTGAATTGAATACAGATAACTTTAACCCCTCAGCGGTTGCAAGATTAAGCAATTCTTTCTTCTCAAATATGGGCGATATCTCAGTCATAAATTTGTAATGCAAGATGTGTTTCTTTGCACATACTGCAGTACATAACTGGAATGCAATCTGAACTTGTTAATGACCATCAAAAGATTAAAAAAGTTCTCCTTTTCAGCAAAATGAGTTAACCACTCAGTTATTTTTATGATTTTAAGATGGGTTAACAAGATAGTTGACAATGCACTGCTAATTCTAAGCTTCAAATGATTAAAGTTACATGCAATAAAATTTGATGCCTTTCTGGCAAATAATTCTAGCTCATTAACACAGTCAAATATAGACATAGAAAAATATGCTAAATAATTAGAGTTCAAAGATAGTAAAATTTTTAGCAAAATTAGACATTGATTATTATTAAGTGGGAAAGTTCAACTTTTAAAATTTTTCATTTAATTAAGAATTAAAAAAAATACTGATTGCCCAAATCTTCAAGTAATATATACGGTTGTCGCAGTTTTCACCATGCTAACACCCCATTTGGGCTAACATAACTTTGGGCTAAAAATATTTAAAAGCAGCACACCTACAGAATTTCCAATAGCTAGTCTTGCATGCTGGAGATAAAAATGTTTTATTCTGTTCAGTGTTGCCACTGATTGCTTTGAAATCGTTGCATTTTTTAATCAAAAATTCATTAAAGTTTTACATAATATGAAACAGATAATAAAAGAATTTCAAAATTCAGGCTTCCAGGTGCCCATATTTGGGTGGAGGACTACATTATTCAAAATTTGATGGCTTTAGGTACCACTGTTTTTTCACAATGTGAGAAACATACATATGTTCATGCAGGTTTTTTGAGAGTAAAAGCCCTTCTGGAGAGACAAAGAAAAAAAAAAGAAAGATAATTATGCTTAATTTTTCTTACTAGTATATATAGAACTTTTTTAAATGAATACTTACCGAAATCTACAATGACCAGATGGCCAATGAAACTTATGATGGTTCAATAAATGTTTTGTGAGATAATTTCCTCTTGTACACATTTTAGCACAGAGATGGCAGGAATATTTTGCTGGTGGCTTTTTCTATTTACAACAAAAAATACTGCTTAGAAATTAAATACTATAGCAATTCATTTGCAATTAAGTAAAGCAGCAATGAACAAAAATCTGCAAAATATTCTTAAAAAAAGGAAAATTTATAAGAATAATGTAAAACACTTTTCATTTTAATAACTACTAAATAATGATAGCTGTCTCTATATGCAGCATATTACCCTTTTTACCAATTTATTTTAAATAAATACCTACTAAAATCTATGTTAAAACATAGTTTAAAATATATTCAGACTCTATAATTTCATCATTTAGTTTTAATTAGTACATTAAAAAAAAAAAGCAACTTGTAGTACTCAAAAAATGTTAGAATGTTTTTAGATTCTGTACCTTCAGAAAAAATAAATTCAAAATAATTTTAAAAAAAAAAACTGATAATTTTCAACTTAAATCAAACCAGAGTATAATTATCTTTTTTGGTTTAAGATAATTTTCTATATACAAACAAATATCATGATATTTATTGTGATATTACTCTACTGAATTTTATATCAGTATTTCAGCAAATATAATATTACAAAGTGCAATACCTTATTTTTCACATTATGAGAAAAAGATATGTTTCAAATATAAATTAGCACCATTTACTTTTCCAAAATATAAACATTCCATTAACAATAAATTGAAAGATTTTTAAACATGTATTTAAAAACACAATATGTTTTTTAATGTATATTTTAAAAATTATATATTTTTATTATCCTCCTCGATGACACTACACCAAACTCCTGATTATTATTATTATGCAGATTATCCATTCTATGAGGTAGCACACTCCAAAAACACCCTCTGACTTGGAAAAGATGAAAAACTGGGTCTTTTTGAGAGAAAAAATCCAATTTTGAATGAAGTACATATCATTACTTAGACTAAGAATTAAGTTAAAATCTCAAAAGTTAAATCTTAAGTTAAACCTTAAATGAATCCTGTTATCAAGAAGTACAAACAGACTGTCAATGGAGAGGTCACGGTGTCTGGTCTCTCTGAAATTATTTTTAGTTTTCAAAAATTTGAAAATATAAAGAAAAGAAACACAAAAGTATGAATAAAGATAAAAATAGCACCAGTATCATTTTATTAAATCACAATGCAATAGTTAAAAAGAGGCCAGAAAAAATGAGTGAAGAGAGAAATGGAAACGAGGGTAAAATAGCAAGAATTGTACAGTGCAGCATTAGTATGCATAAACACACTTAAACACACTGCTCGAATACACTTAAACTCAACTTCACTCAAAACTCAATTTGCTCACAACAAATTGATTTGAGTTTAATGATATTACTACCTTCAAGCAATGTCCAACACACTGTGTATAAATATGTCAACACAACTTTTAAAAGAAGGAATATAACAAGGGGGGGAACTGAGATAGAAGAGACTAAAAGTCAATATAAATTTTATTACAATTTTAAAAACTATTAAAAAAAAACTATTTACAATGAAATCTTTTACAGTAACCAAGAAGACTAAAATCATCTGAAGCTATGAGTGGTCACTGTTGGCAGATTAATAAGTAGTAAATAGAATAAACTTAATATAAATTTAGAAACCACTATAAACCTACCAACAATAAAACTGGCATTACTAAAACGCAATGAAATTAGTTGAGAAGCATAATGTTCTGAATAGTTCAACATCTAATAGTTCATCATCTTTGAAAAATCATGAAATACATTATTTAATATTATTTATAAGACCTACAATAGGAGAACAAAAATTAAAGAAAACAAATTGAAATAACTTCATCATAAAAAAGGTAAAAGCTCCAAATATTGTTCATAAATGCACCCAAAGAAAGAATATTGCTGTTTATCACCATTCACATAAAATTTTCCTAAATTAGAGAAAATAATAAAATATTGTATTTCATTACAATTATATAATAATATATTTGTGATGAAGCATGTAATAATAGTACGGAAGCACACATTCTGAAGTAATATAATTAAAATACAAATTTTTCCCACTAAAATAATTTCAAAATATGGGAGAAAATTTTCAAATAGCACCTTAAAACACATTTTTTTTTTCTGTATCCAACATATAACAAAAAAGACCAAAATTTGTGAGGATAACTTAACACTTTTATCGCATATGAAATATTTTACCTCTTTAAAAATTATCTGAGACTTTTTGAAGAGATGTGTATGTAATGTATGCTTAATGTATGCTTTACGAATGCACGCGTTGAAAGAAATGTTTAATAAAGTAAACAAATAAATATTAAGCTTTTTTTTTTTTTTTTTTTTTTTTTTTTTGGTAAATTTTGATATCCTTTACATCATAATTGCTCTTTATTTCATAAATTACGGTTTCATATTTTTAATTTCATAATTTCTGCATGCCATCTTACCAGATTTAAACTGATGATTATAATTCGGAAAAATTGATAATTCAGAATCGCCGAAGTCCTGACCAGTCCGGATTAAAGACTTTTGACTGTACAACTTTGCACTGAATCATCAATTTCATTTAGAATCAGAAATTTAAATTTAGTGAATATGTGCATCTTATTATTTTACATGCTATGCAATATTTAACAATATATTAATTCGTAGATACTCTAACTAACTTTCAAATATATGTAATTCAAATTTATATTCATTAATATAACTTTTTTTAATTTGGTGTTCAACAGCATACTCTTCATGAAAATTCAATATATGCCATTTTGCTACATTAGTATATATTTCATATTTTCTTCTTATTACTTTTAATGGCGATTTAGTATTTAGTAAACCTTTAATTTGGAAGGTTATAAATTCAGTCTATAGATAATATGTGAGATATTAATGTCAGTTTTTGGAGTCATATTGTATTATTAACTCGTTTAGTTAATAAATTATGCAAATTTCAAAAAGGACATACAAAGAACATATCATAGGCACATTAAAACATATCACAAAAATTTTTATTACTGTCAAATATTGCTCTATTGTGTGAAATATACCTGAGATTTGTGTAGAAAGATCAATATTTAAAATATACAAGTTGTATAGTGTACAAGTTGTTTCAGTTTGTTGAAATCTGCAGTATTTTTTCCATTATGTTATAGCTCCTTAAGAACAGTTAATGTAGTATAAAAAATTCTCAGCTCAATTCTGCTCAGCATCACAATGAATTTGAAGCAAAATCTATCAGTCAATTCAACTGCCAAGCGTCATTTTCATATTAATACTAATGCTTACATTATTCATGAAGCTATCTTTAAGTTACTCTAAATACCTCCAGAAATAAAAAAAAAAATAATTACATCTTTTTTTAACCCCAAATATTTACCTCGTGTTTCTTCCTGTAATGTGCATTATAGCATGACTGAGACCGTGTGGTGTAAGAACAATCTTCTACAGGACACTTGTAAGTTGGTACCATTCTATGTGTTTCTAAATGTTTTCTTAGATCATTTTCTGATTTACATCTGCACAAATAAAAAAAAAAAAAAAGAATCTTTTTATATTTTTAAACATACATATCATCAAGTTAAGAAATTTAATTGATTACAAAAACTCAATGGAGAAAACAAAACATAAAATTGCAGTCTAAAATATGCTGAAAAAATAACAGATTTTTGAATAAAATAATTTCAATTAAAAAAATAATAAAATAAATAAATCTAAAACAAATCCATATATTTTAAAATAAAACAATACATCCAAATTAAAATCATATATCATTTCCTAAAAATCAATATAGCCCATAATAAAGGTTTTAGTAAATTTTAAAAGAATAACTATAGCTTCCAAAGGAATTTTAACAAACAAACCAATTTGCTTAGCAGTTTTAAGTTTTCTTTTAGTAACACACTTCTCATTTGAAAAACAGAAGATCTGCTAAACATAATCTGTGAATGTATACAATAAAACTATCTCCATTTAATGCTTTAACTCATTCAATCACTTGAAATTATAAATTCACAAATGTACAATTCATGTATACTTTAATCTAATTTTATTGCACAGAGTTATTTAAAAAGAATTTTCAAATTTCATTAACTTGCATTTTATAAAGGAAAAGAATTCAATCCATTCATGGCATCTGTTTTCTCAAATGGTGATGAACTTTCCCAGCAGGACATGGCCCCTGCCATATGGATAAAATTTCCTGAACATGGTTTCATAAGTATACCTCAGAATTAAACCTACTTTCCACCCCCACCTAATTTCCCAGATCACAGTCGAATTGAGCATCTGAGGGATGTCATGCAATCGCTGCTCTAAGTTCATGATCCACTGGCACATAATTTATACAGACTAGCAGAACTGTTTCGAACATATTATACACTTTGCCTGCACACACATATTGTGGCTGTAAGTACTCAATTTGATGTACAAGCTACATGTGAGCTAACAGGGTTTTAAATAGGTGATTTCAATGCTTTGGCTCTTCTGTGGATGGATGAGCTAACAGATAATACATGTATTGATCATTTTTGATAGACAAAACTTCAGATCACTTGCGATTATTAGTGATTATATGTTTGCAAACTTAAAGGACATAAACAAACATTTCACAAAATAATGAAAGGGGTCACATCCCATGAGCTCCTATCAGCCCACTGTTTTAGCCCTTTCAGACACAATTACCAAAGAGTACTTTTTTAATTACAAGCGATTCTACTCAGGTAAGAATTCGAGTAAAGTCTGAATCAATTTCCTTTTGCTCACATTGAAAAATACTAATGGGATGCATATAATCTTTTTAAAAAATTCGCTAGTACACATGTATCCCATAAACACGGAATAGCTAAATATTAATATTTTATATTTTATTTAATTCACTAGAACTTCTAACTAAAACTGTTTTACTAATAATGAAGTTGTATTTCTTGCCATAAAAATGTGTTCAATGTAGCCATCACATGTAGCACAGAAATCTCTTATCATCATGGGTAACTGCCCTAACAAGCTGCATTCAGTATGGTTTCAAATGCATGCCTTCTCAGTACATGTCAGAGCTTACAACTATCTGGAATTTTTGGTTTCCCATGTGTCTTTTGAAAGGCCTCCAGTATTTTCTCATTATCCCCCTCTAAAACTCACAGCAGTTAAAGATACATTCTCTTATATAGACATCCACTGTCCTGAAACTTCCAAAACTACAACCAAATGTCCTTGAGAGGAAGCAAAGTGCCTTCAAAAAGCACAATGCACCATGATAAACAAATCAATGTTTTTAATTCAAGAATACAGAAACCCTTTTGTGATGTGTTGCGGTTTTGAGAATAAACAAGTAACTAAGCATTGAAGGGGAACAATGCATCCAACTTTTCCCAAACTTAAAAACCTATTATTTCAAGTGGTCAATAACAGTTCTGCAAGATGCTTAAAGAACTATTAAAAAGGACTTTCAAAAGGTTCATTCTTTCTGAACAAATCAATATTTTATGTATCAGTATTTGGTAATAGAGGGATGGGAGAGGCTCGGACTGTTCTCCCCCCTAGAGGTTTTCTTCCTCAAAAGTGGGGCAGAAGCTTGACAATTAGTTAGGTTCAGCAATACCTCAATTGCCTGTGATACTACAAAAGTGCTGCCATAGCTTCTACTGAGACCTGTAACATACAAGAGTATGTATGAATAAGTAATGAGTACGTATGAGAGTAATGAGTGAACAAAGGGTATTTTTCCCCCCTAAAATGGCATGCAGATTTTTGATTCTATGCTTTAAATTATGCATAAATACAAAGTCTGTGAAATTCATGCAAACTATTTCAGAGATATTTATATTTAACTGTGCAATTTTTTAAAAATCCATTTGTCAAACATATCAGTTTATGTTAACTTTTTTTAAAAAATTTTTTCAACATTTTCTTTTGGAACTTTAAAATTTGGTTTATTAATTCTTATTTTAAACGTAATTTTTTAAATACTAACATTATTTTAAGCTACATAATTTTTATATCATTAAAATGTTAGAAAGATATTTAAAAGAAAGAATTACTTTAAAATTTCATTCATTTGCAAATCAAATTTGAAACTTGGGATTATCTGATCAAAGGTCTAGAATTTTAATATACAATTAGAATGTGTCCAAACTTAATAATAATCAGGATGCATGAAAAGTAAATTTTACTGAATTAATAACTACCAGTATAGCATTTATTTATGCATTATTTAAAATAATGCAAAACTATGAACAATTAAACCAACAGCACATACATATATTTCAAGAAACAACCACCACCTCTAAAAGTGATTAGTATTTCTCATAAAACAATCTGAAATCTGAAAAACTTTAGATTAACAACGGGGAAAAGAAATTAGCCATAAAAATATTTTAAATTAAAAAATAGTTAATCATACAAATATTGTTTTTTCTCTTAAACAAAATAATATCAAAAGTCATCAACTCATAAACTAAATTTTCACTAATTTTGAAAAAAAAAAAAAATTAAACCTAACCCAAAAAAAAGTTACAATTTTAAAATGCCTACATTTGTTTCTGCATTCTTTTCTGAGTATGGAATAGTGTGGATGGAAGAATATCAAAATATTAGAAAACTATATATTAGTGTTCAAACAAGATTAAAAGATGTGGTATATAGAAGGAGGCTTGCAATATATATATAATATATATATATATATATAGATATATATATTTACAAGTATTTATATTAGTGTAAAGCAAATATAAAATTTAAATTTAAATTAAGAAATTTAATTGCAAAGAAATAAAAAATTAAAATTTGCCGTGAACTAATTTACAATATCATTTAAATTCTAAGAGCATATGTAAATTAACTGCACGTATCTAAAATCATGAAAAAATATATTACTCCAAAAAATTAAATTTATTATTCCTAAAAATTACATAAGTGAATAATTGTTGAGCAGGCAGGAGACAGACTTATCAAGGGGAAGTTGCCCCCTAACCTAACTCTTCAATTACTCAATTCATGTTTTGTCATCCATATAGGCAAGTGTAAAAGTAAAATTCAATATCAAATGTGTGAATTACTAAAAAAGAAATTTAAACAGTGGAATTTTGATAAAATAGTAAGTAAATGGCAAGAGTTAAAATTAATTAAAAGTCAATTAAGAGTAGAAAAAACTAATTTTTTTAGAAAACCAAAGTAACTTAGAAACTCTTGCCTACTGGAAACTTCCCAAACACGAATATGCATATATACAACTATCAAAATATAAAAATAAAAATAATAATAAAAAAAAGGCTAATAAATAGCAAGTTTTAATTTAACTTACCTAGATCTACATACAGTAGACGTTCGTTTTTACGAACCTCTTTTTTACGAACACTCTCGATTTGACGAACTAGCGTATGGTCTCGAATACACTCCCATAGATGTAATGTAATTTTGCGCTCTTATTTACGAACTACAAATCAGGAAAATCTCTTTTTTGCAAACTCAGTTTTCATACTTCTGCGTGTTTCATTGGGACGAAGTGTGAAGGTCAAATAAAATCTCCAAATATTTTGAGGCAGCAAGTGCGAAACATTCGAAGAAGTACAGTAAGGAAGGAGGGGGCGGAGAAGAGGGGGAATTAGGACAAATTTATGGTGTTGTTTGTTGTGGGAGGCTCTCAGAAGAGCATCTGCCTGATGTTGTTGGGTGCACATCAACCACAAGCACAAGCACATCAACCTCGAAAACTGAAAGCTGTATGGGCTATAGTCAGAAAGGGGTCACAAACATTGCATTCATAAGTTGAGAATTATTTCAGGGCTTTATTTCTAAATTAGAAGAATTAAGAGTCTTACAGCAGGAGTGGTAAACAAAAATTAATAAAATTGAATAAAATACAATGAGATAACTCAAAATAAAATTTAAAAAAAAAGAAAGAAAAAGTCTAAAAGCTTTCAGATTATATTACGCCCAAAGAGGCTTTTTTTTAATGTTTTGTGTGTTACCTTTATTTATTAAATATCATGTCCTTTGCATTTAAACCATAAAATTCAATTCAACTGCAATATCACAAAATATTTAATAAACTTAATAATAAATAAACTTCTAACAATGTTCATACAAGTTCTGGAAACTTTTGAAAAAGTGCTCCTTTGAGATTGTGTTAAGCTCGTTACTAACAGCAGTTTGAATGTCTGAAATGCTTGAAACTTGGTGTCCCTTTAGTGTCAATTTCAGTCGTGAAAAGAGGGAAAAGTTTGCTGGCGCAAGATCAGGTGAATAAGGAGGGTGAAATAACTCTGTAACCTTTTGCTGCACGAGGAACCACCTAACACACATTGCAGCATGATGGCATGCATTATCATGCAACAACAACTACTTACTTGCCTGATGCAACAAGATGGGGCCGAACATGACAAATGCGAGCCAAAAGGCGCTTCACAAACACGGCAATAAAATTCACCATTAACTGTTTGACCTTCCAGTACGTATTCTTTATGGATAATTCCCTGTGTGTCGAGAAAGGTAATCAACATTGTCTTAATCTTTGATTTTTCGAAACGAAACTTTCTCGATTTTGGCGATGAGGGACCATGCCACTCCATGCTTTGGCGTTTCATTTGAGGATCATATACAAAACACCACGTTTCATCTCCTATGACGATTGACTGTAAAAATGTGTCATCTTTATCTGCTGCATTAATGAAGTTGCCACAGGATTCCAATTGCAGGTGTTTTTGTTCATCGCTTAAGTAATGAGGTACAAACGTCACACAAAGTTTCCGTTTACCTAAATCCTGCATGAATATTGTTCAGACGATTTCACGAGGAAGATTCAATTCATTCGCCATTATTTGGACGGACAAACAACAATCTTTCAGCAATAACTTTCTAACTCTTTCAACATTTTCCGTCCTTCTCGTCCTCAATGGTCTTCCACTGCGATGCTCATCCTCCACGCTTTCACGACCTTCATGGAAAAGTTTGAACCAATGAAATACTTGCAAGATAAAGTTTCTTTGCCATACACACTTTGAAGCATTTCCAAGGTTTCCATAGCAGTTTTACCCATTTTAAAACAGAATTTCAGATTCATTTTCTGATCCATTAGCAATGCACTAACACCTTTCATGTTTAAGTGACTGCACGAACAAACACAAAACAAGAAACTTTATGAATGACCCTTAACTTCAACGTTGCATACCAAAGAGCATAATGCACATGTGTCAGGTCATCAGGCTGTTCTCATTTTCGAAAGGAGAGGTGAGTCACCTTACTTTTCAGTCTCACCTTGTATAATAAATCAGAAATTGAATAAAATTAAATAACAGAAATGCAAAGTGAATAAATAAATAAGAACATGACAACATATGCAGGATTAAGAAAAAGGTAAGTATAACTGAATATTATACTTTGCAGTCAAGTTAAAATTTCATCTCTGTTTTTGCTTAGCCTTCTGGCTTAGATAAATGGAACATTAACATTACATTACATTTCCTAAAAGGAATGCATTTCAATGATATTTTCATCCTCAATTGCTCATGTTTTCGAGCATATTTTGTTCTACGGCATACACGGAGTATCTATTACTAATATCTGTTTTACTAACTATTAAATAAAAATTTGCATTAACAACAGAACAAAGAATACTACAACTTAGTTATTTGGCAAAATATTTGATCTTGTCTTGTTTGGTCTCTGGTGTACTCTGGTTGTATTTATGATGTTTCTCAAAAATTAAGAAGTACGGAAGCTGGGCTCTAGTGACTCAATCGTTTTCCTTTACTTCTAAAGGTTCAGGACAATTCCTTTACTTCTAAAGCTTAAAACTAAACTGAAAAAACTTTTCAAGAATTTAAAACATTGCAATAAACTATGAAACTATGAAAACTATGAAAGCATTATTAAAAATTCTGCATAACTGCCCTCAGAGCACTGCATAATTATAATACAGGCTCTAAAGCACTGCATAACTATATGTATATTAATAACTAAAAGTTCCTTAGGGTTCATAAAATAAAATTTAAAAACTTGTTTTAAAAATCTATAATAAACCTCTCATATCAATACAAATTTCAAATATACTACAAGATGCAGAATTCGTTCATATTTTAGTTTTACTTACTTATAATCGCAGTACTGACAAGAATATGGTTTACTTTCAGAATGTCTATATGTGATGTGAACCTGTATTCCAGATGGAGTGGGGCAAGTCATATCACAATAGGGGCATTTATAATGATTTACTGGAATAAATGTAAAATATACTTTATAAAAATATAATAATAACATAAAAAATTCAAAAATACCAGTAATTGTTTTCAAACCAAATAAACTGCAATCTTATTTATAACATCCTCAGATAAAACTAAACTAAGCAAAGTACAAAAAAAGACACTAAATGAATCCAAAATCAGTCATTATTTCCACCAAAAATGACACTAAAAAGAGTCCAAAATCAGTTATTATTTCCAACCCCGAAAAAAAATCAGCTTTTACTCACTCTTCATTCTTCAGAGGTAAATAAATACATGTTTTATATTGAACACAAGTTATCTCAGTAAATTGCATATAAAAATAAAGAACAGCAACACTTCTTCCCAAAGACATGAATTTTATATATAATGGCCATGCATATTCAAAAAGATTACTCTTTAAAAATGCACTTTTTCACATTCATTTGCTGAATAGTTTGACTTCCACAAATAGTTTCTCATGGCTTATGCAAAAGAATTCCATTCAAAGTGGCTGTGCCTACTCTAATTATAAACCCCAACCACATACATGGAACAACAACAAAAAAAAAAAAAAAAGTCCTTAATTCGTTATTTTAAAGATTCTTTTCTATTTTAATACAAATGCTCAGTCTTCTGCATATTCTTTATGCACCAACAATACATAATGGACTCCAGAAATAAGTTATAGATTGAGATACTTTTTAAACAATTTCTGTCTTTTTTCTTAAATATGGCACAGTCCTAGTGATATCATGTTTATACCTTGTAAGATTACTATTACTTTACATTAATCAGTTATTTATATCTTCAGCCTTTACTTAGTTTTTACAATAATTTCTCCTTTCCCTTTCATTCACCAGAAATACAAATGAGTTTGACAGTATTTAAGCTGAAGTTTTGGATTGTAAGACAGAGCATCTTTCTGATTCCTGAAGCCATGTTACTTAGTTTTGCCCATATTCCATTTATAAAATTATTTGCCGTACTCAAAATTAAAACTGATTTACTCAAGAAAAATCTCTCTTCTCTTGCTGACTTTCAATATAAAAAAAATGGAAAAGACACTCAGGTATCTCTAAATATCATTTTGTTAAGTTTGAAAAGAATTTGGGATAGATAACTATGATACAGTTTCACTTTTTTTAAAACATCTTTATAACTTGTGAAAATAGCTTTTATATGAGTTTAATTTCAATTTCATGACATGCAACTTTGAATAATTGCTTGCCATGACATAACATTACTTTCTATTACATTAAAAAGTGAACTATTCCCCCCCCAAACACTATATATAGAGACTTTATATCATAATTGCTTCATTATTTCATAAATCACAATTTCATATTTTTAATTTTATAATTTCGACATTCCATATTATTAGATTTAAATTGATGGTCTAATATCTGGAAAAATCCCAAATTCAGAATCGCCGAAGTCCCAACAAGTCTGGATCTTGGACTTTCTACAGTATACTCTGGATGAAGTACTGGTAACGGGTGAAGAGAAACTTCTGAGCACACCCAGAAAAAAACCTAAGATTTGCTGATTGAAACTATTTAAATTGGTTATTTTGATAAACATGCTATATGGAAGATAATATATGACTTTTCCACCAAAGGAAAAAAAGTGCCATCCCTATGAAAATTACTGCTGTGTTGAGGAAAAAACTAGATTAACTATCACAAAAAGACTTTTGTGTAAGTTTTTTGTTCGATGAATTTTTTTTCGGAAGTGCATTAATTCATGAAAAGTGCTCTCCAAAAGATCTGATATTGCATTTTGGAGAAATACTTACTTTTGAGACATGATGAAATTTAATGGAAGTGGATGTTGCATCATTTAAGTTGACAACACATGGACTGATATTCAAGAAATATTGGCAAAATGACACAGTTCTGGGCACACTGTTGGGTGTTATCTCAAGGAGTAGACTTATTGTTATACACACTGGTTCTGCAGGATTTATTTCAGATGCTCAACCTGTGTATGAAGCATAAACTTTAAAGTAAGGATTACCATGGGCAAATGAACTATGAAAATTTTGAGAAATCAGCATTGTAAAAACCAACCAAAATCTGCAAATCTAGATTGAGCAAGATTGTTCCAAATCTGTTATTCCAAAGTAAGGCGTTCATGGACAATGCTCCATACCACGCAACATGATCTTATGACAGATCTTAGATAGCTTTCAAGATATTACACCACTATGAAAACTTCAATGTTAATCCATTTTCACCAGAGGTGCTAAGCATGGATCTAACTTGTTGCTCTCAAATATTATTGCCCACCACTGAATAGATGGGTAAGATTACTAAGTTAGCTAAGTGGTAGTTAAATGAGTGAATACCCACATTAAAATTCTGGCAATACAGCTGGCTAATATGGATGTTTTCATGGTTTTCCCCCACGTGTAATGTGTATATAAGCCACTTTTCCTTAGTCCTTCTCAAAGTCATTTCTCTCCTTATAGCCCTTGCATACTTTGCCATAATCAAATAAACCAAATCAAACCTCTTAAAAATATTAAATTTTCTTTATTTCTAACACACATTTTTATTTGAATATTTTGACTACGTTACTTGTCATATTGGCTTTTTTTTTTCCTTTATTTTCAATACATGAAATGCCTTTTGAAATCTGTCCTTAGGCAATAAGATACACATAAAATATGAAATACAAGAATACAATAGTTGAACCTGAATTTAAAAATCAAAAAAGATATCAAATGAGCATGTGTAAAGCATTTAAAAAAAAGTTGTTGGTGGTTTTGAGATCCGGATTTTAGATAATTCCGGATATTGGACATCGTGATCTCCGACTTTGTACTGTATATGCAACAGACAAGTGTAATCAGTAAAGCACAAGCAGTTTTTTTCTTTCCTTATCTTTAAATATATCAAAATCATAGGTCCAGTCCACTCATTTATTAAACAACCCATACATTTTTTCAGCATCAAACTATCCAATTTATAAATTACTATCCTAGATTCAATGAACTAGGAATTAATAAAAATTATTGGTACTTTCTGATTATCCGTACCCCCACTAAAAAGTCACAAAAAAAGTATTCCTGAAGCAAAGCAGTATGTTGCAAAAGTAATTATGCAACAACTTACGTCATCAAAAAGTATTTACATGGCAACCCAGGTATGCACATAGTATATGTCTGTTTTGGGTGGTGCTTTGTTTCTTAATCAAAAACAAATAGCTATGTACATGAAAACAGCAGCAGCAGCCAAAAAAAAAAAAAAAAAAAAAAAGGAGAGGGGGGGAGAAAAGAAAAAAAAATCAAAATGTGCCCATTTTGCTGATGTGCAATGCTAACATTGTACAGTGCTGAATGTGGCCAACGCTGTTTTTTTAAGCGAAAACAGATCACCATGTATATGGGCAGAGCAATAGAGAGGGGAGAAAAAAGTCTTCTTTAAAAAGGGGATCTGTTTTATTACATACTTTCTTGGTTTTTCAATTTTATTGATTGACTGCACTTATATGGAATTCTTGATCCACTACTATTCTAAAAATGGCAATTTCTTTTCGTGCATTAGCTAGTTAAAAAAAATTAGTAGCCAATGAGTTTGTAAATACTGTCTGAGTCCCTAACCACTTCATAACTTTTTGGTGGAGGTGCAGATAGTCAGAAATACAAAATTCTCAGTTTATTAGAAGTATAAAATATCATACCATGGTGTCTCATATGATCTCGTAGTAAGCGTTCAGAATTCATCTTTCTAGAGCAATATTCACAAATATATGTGCCTTCTGAATCATCTAAACATAAATTATTAATAAAATCAACAATTTTACATATGAGTTTCTTCATATAATTCAGCTTTTAATATATTATATATCTTACCATCTACAGCTAACTGTCGATGTATATGATCAAAAAACTTTGTTCTGGATGCAAACATTCCACCACATGTGGGGCAAGCAATTAACTTTTCTTGAGTATGAGACCTCATATGTTCTTTCACTTTATACTGATCTGCAAAAATTCTGTGACAGTCTGAAAATATAATAAAAAAATATATGTGGATAATTAATTGAAACTCTCTCAAAAATTACTTAAATGCCCAGAAATTTAAAATTCAAATTCTAACAAAAAATACTTTTGCATAAACACATATAACCATCAAAATAAGAAACATCAAAATAAGAAATCAGAATATTTATTAAAAATTCACCGTAACATATTCATATACATAAAAAGCTACTAGATGTATATTGCACAAAAAAAAGGGGGTGTTAGTTCTATATCTCCCGTTCTAGTGGGTCGATTGACAAAATTCAGATTGCATTTTTCATGTTTCAAAAGTGCGACTTATGTACAGGGTGTTTCAAAACTTATTGTTCACATTTCGTGAGGAGGTAGGGAAGACATCAGGAAACTGATTTCACATAGGAAAGTGAGTCCGCAAATATACGCGAGAGTACTGTGCATCCAACTAGCGTACAGCTTGCCAGACCACTCCTGCTGTCATCAGTGAATTCATCTTATCACTAGTAGAGTGATAAGATGAATTGTTTTACGCATCAAAAGCTAGCGAATGCGCATCTCGCATATGGGCCAGCTGGCGAAAGCAGCCAGCGAGCTAGACAAGTTTACGAAAACCAATGCCCCAACAGAAGAATACTGCAGTATCAAACGTTTGCATGTGTGCATCGCAGTCTGTGGAAATGTGGTTCATTGAGCAGCAACATGTAGGGTACAGGGAGAAGATGACTGTTGCAGACTATCAGCATCACAGAACAAGTTCTACAGTTCATCAAAGATAATCCAAATACCAGCACACGAGCTATTGCTCAGCAGCTTGGGGTCTCTCACTCAGCACTGTGGCAGATACTGCACGAAGAATGTGTGCATCCTTACCATCTGCAAAGTGTGCAGGTACTGCCTCCTAACAATCCGAGGCATGTGGAATCTGCACAGTGGATGCAGAAAGGTGCCATGGACCCCAGTTTTCCAGCATCTGTCCATTTTACAAATGAAACTTCATTCACTTGTGAAGGTGTGTTCAATACACACAATTCACATGTGTGGGCTTGCGACAACCCGCATGGTATGAGAAGTCATGCTGCGCATCATCATTTTACCCTAAATGTGTGGGCTGGAATTATTGGTGACTGATTGTTCGGACCTTACTTGCTAGCGCCTCAATTGGATGTCTGGAAATATCTAGTCTTTCTAGAGACAGTGTTACTGACTTTTCTGGGCATTGTTCCTGTGCATATCCAACGAGATATGTGGTATCAACATGACAGGACACCAGCCCATAGCCCAACTGATCTGCAAAATTACCTGAACTGAATATTCAAAGCTCGATGGATCGGCAGAGGTGAACCAACCCCTCGGCCAGCCAGGTTACCTGATTTATCACCCATGGATTTCTTTTGTGGGGGCCCATGAAAGAACATGTATACAATACTCCCGTTGACAGTGAAATGGACCTTGTTGCAGGAATAGTGGCCATCGCAGGAACTGTCCATCATAAGCCAGACATTTTGAACATGTTCTGAGGTCAATGCAACGGTGCTGTGAATCCTGTGTTCGTGTAAATGGTCACAATTTTGAGCACCTACTGTGAACCTTTACTTTACCTTGTTGGAATAAAGGTCACATCATTACCACTTAACTGTACTGCTTCCTTGTGTTAACTTTACTTGTCCATTTTGTTTATGTAGATGACATTTGTGGACATAATTTCCTATGTGAAATCGATTTCCTGACGTCTTCCCTACCTCCCCATGAAATTCAAATGATAAGTTTTGAAACACCTTGTATATTAGATTTATATATGGCATTGTTCTAATATAGGTATTTTGACAAAAATTTGGCTTTTTCTGAAATGACATGCCAATTTTTTTCCATATTTTGATTCCACAACTCAAATTATGTCAAACTGCCAAGTTTTGTAAAAATTGTATGAGTAGTTTTTAAAAAATTAGCTCTAAAAATTTTAGCTCCTCAATGTTAATTGAATTTGATATATATTTAATAATAGCTCGTTTTATTAACTGATTCCTTCTTCCAGAACTCGAAATTTAGGCTGAATCCAAATATAATTTGCCCATTTTTATGATTTATTTTTTAATTGGATTTTTAAATTGTTTTAATACATTTTTGAAAATTTTTTGTATTACAAACAGATAAAATTTTAAACATCATCTTAAAATAGATGAACAGTACAAAGTCCGTAATCCGGACTAAACAGGACTTCGGCCATTCTGGATTAGGGGTTTTTCCAGATTATAGATCATCAATTTAAATCTGGTAAGATGGCATGCAGAAATTGGACAATTAAAAATATGAAATCATAATTTATGAAATAAAGAACAATTATGATCTAAAGGGTATCAAAATTTACAAAAAAAAGCTTAATATTTATTTGTTTATTTTACTAAACATTTCTTTCAATGTAAGTTGTTTAAGATGCTTCCACAAAAAATTCAAAAGTTCCTTTCTCTTGTGTCATATATAGTGGACTTTCCAATGCCATACTTCTCGCATAATTTTGAGAAGGATATGCCTTTATCCATTTTTTGCGGCAATTCCACTTTTTGTTTAATGGACGTTGAAACATGCTTTCGGTGTGTAGATCCTTTGGCAACTCCAGAATTGGAAACTCTTTTTGACGTAATCGAAAGTTCAAGCTTAATTTTTATAAAATTGTTCTGGAAATAAAACTGAAATGCCTTAGATAGTTTTAGCTTAGCTTTTACCGCCCATTATACATTAAACGTGCATGTGTAAACTTATGCATATGCGCATAAAGTTTGTAGCTTTGAGGTCTGGATTATAGATCATTCCGGATTACAGACTTTGTACTGTATTTCTAGGCACACCTGCAAGAAATTAGAGTTTTGTATTCAAAATTTTCTTTGATATACAAGAATTTACATAGTGGCCCATTTTGAAATTCGGCATATATGTTATAAGCAATAATAACGCCAAATATGGTTTATGCACTTCGTTAAAATTATTTGAAAATATGAATGATGATTTTTTTCCTGCTTGTCTGCAATGAAAAAAGGGAAATGAAAATAGGTTGCTATATAAATTAAGAAGTTCGTCTAATGAATTATTCTTGGCGCAAACTGATAAAAATACGCCAATTTTTTTAATTTCTCCATAAATTTCTCAACAAATTTCACAAAATTTAATATTTAGTTGAGTTTTAGAATCAAAATATGGAAAAAATTGACATGCCATTTCAGAAAAAGTCAGATTTTGTGTCGGAATACCTATATCAGAACAATGCTATATATAAATCTAATAAATATTCTAAGTCGTTCTTTCGAGACATGAAAAACACAATTTGAATTTCGTGTAATCAGCCCAATAGAACAGAACTGTTGCCCCCCTTTTTTTTGTGCAGTGTACATTAATTTAAACTATAAAATTCTTTTTAAAATTATGACAAAACAGGCAGGGCTTAAGGGCCAGAGAGTCAACAGCCGCAGAAAGATAAACCAGCATTAATTTATACTGTAAAGCCTCAATGTTTTCAAGAGATAAATGGATGTTCTGTTATTATCAAGTTCCAACTTTACAATTAAAAATCCAATGCTAGGTTAAATAATGCTTAGTATAAATCTGGTAACAGTCTCTTATGTTTCTCATTTTTAATTCCAAATAACTTTTAAAGATAATTTTTAGAAAACACTATTTTCAAGTTATCAGACAATATTTAGCTGACATTTTTTAAAATTACAATCTGGTTTTATCTTTACTTTTTTAAAGAAGAGGGTTTTTTCCCCCTGCTGTTTGTATTTATTATCAATTTTGAATTTAGATTTCATATTTGTATACTTACCTTAATTTTACTTGATGTAAATAACACTTATTTATTTTAACTTAACTATACAACAATTTTTATAATACTTCATTAGAACAGTAATCTAAAGTAATAACATTTTCAATAATTATCTTTCATATAAAAAGGGAAAAACTTTATTAACCCACGAGCGTGCGACCTGGGTCGTTAAGACCCTGGTCATGTTTTTTCTTCAAAAAAACAGTTATGCTTCAGCTAAAAGTGTTATATTTATAACAAAATAGCATTATCAAATATGCAAATTATAAAAATTAAAATTTTAATGTCTGTAATATTTTTATGAAATAAAATGTTTTTAAAGAAATAGAAAAAAGTATTGTATTAATATAGAATTTATTAGGAATACATTATATTATTATTCAGGTTATTCAAGAATTATTATTGAGGTTTATTAGGAATATACTGCCTGAAAGAACATCTTCCTCGGAAAGCTTCTAGTTTTTCATCAATTTCAATGAACTCACTGACAGTGTAATATTTCTAGCAGTTATTTACAAAATCTTCAAAAAACTCTCTTATAGGTGCAAGTTTATCTGATTTTTTCTTGATGACGCGAATTCCTATGTCATCATAACGCAAATGCAAACGTCCTAATAAAAAAAAGAAAATTTTTGTAGCACATAGTTTTGTGGAAAATTTCCAAGCCAGTTCCGTCTGTTGCCCACAGATCGCACACATTTACAAGAGATGATTTATGTCACAAAAATATAAAAAACCTATAAAAGCGTGAATTTCAATCGAGTTGTGTGACAAGCATCTCTCTCTCTTTGAAAGCTGTCAGAAATAGATGCAATATGAATATTTGTATAACTGACAACTTTCAGCAACATTTGTTCACTTAGTAAAAGTTCCTATGATTCATTTGGAGTCTGCACATATTTTGCCTTACCGATGTTTCCAGGTAATTTAGTTATAATATTTTGAGCAGGAGTTCTAAGATCAGCTTTAGGCTTTTCTTCTGACCTTTGGTTTTTTTTGTCTTTTCCAATAAAACAATAAATGTCATTCTCATTTTCGATTTCAGAATGCATCTCAATTTCTGAATCAGAATCAAGAGAACTAAAAAATTCCCTATAACTTCCATCATTAGTTTCTTCAATGGAGTCTTCAACAGTTCATACATCTTCTAATAATTTTTTCAAACAAAATATTTCCTCCTTATAGGATAAATTACGTGACATGTTTGCAGCTTTCTGTGCTACCACAAATGAACTATGTTATGGCAATGCGAATAGGCGCACTGGGTCTGAAAGACCCGATCCGATCAAAATAAAACTTCAAATCAAATTTCCGACAAAAAACTAGAAAACACAAAGAGGGTGGCCTTAGAGTAGACTACACTGTACCACAACCACTTTGGAAAAATAGGGGTATTTTCAGAAAGGTTTCTTTAATCGAGTCTATTGGACCCAGCGCGCATGCTCGCGGGTTAATTAATGTAAAATATCAAATCTACGTTTAATGAAAAACTAATAAATAATAGACTGCTTTCACCTGTGCTAGGTCATGAAATATGTAAATAAATAATTGTGACTCGCAAACAGAACGCTGGCACCTGTCATGGACTATGTAATCGGATTTAAAATTCAAATAGATAGATTATGCGAGAAAACAGCAACAAATTCACTATGTTTTATATTTGTGTGTGTAGTTTTTTCTGAAGAAATGTATTCGTCATGCCTTATATCTTCATTTTTGCCCCTAGATGTCTTTCTCTTAATTTTACGTCGAAATGTTTGTGATAAAGCTGGCACCCAACATGGAGCCCTAAAACCTGAACTTGGTCAAAGAACATTAAAAAATGGATGATGTTAATTGAATCCACAAGTCATGATAGCAATCAACCAACGGATATGAATTTTGAGATAAGTAAAAATTCATTTGACTGATGAGAGGTGTGCGAATACTAAAGTTTGGTTCATTGATTAATTGATTATAGAAAATCTTCTTTAGGAAAAAATCTATCTTCTTTAGGAAGGATGCTTTTGTGGAAATTATTAAAGGAACTATTGAAGATTAAAATTACATAGGAAAAGTCTGGAAAACTACAGAGTTCAGCCTACTCATTCAGCATACCCCCCCCATACAGTGTTGCTATTGCTCGCTTTTAAATCATTGATTTTGTTACTCAAAAATTCGTTAAAGTTTTACAAAATATGAAATCGATCATAAACCAAATTCTAAATTTCAAAGTATATCTTCCACATGCCCATATTCGTAGGAGGAAATCATTCAAAATTTGATGGCTATATGTACCATTGTTTTATCACAATGCGAGAAATATACATACATTTATGCAGATTTTTTATTATTTAATTTCTTCAAATATAATGCAGGACTCTATCATTTTTTGGCAACAGTTTGAAAAGTGGAACGGGTATTTACAGTGATTCAACGCAAAATCGCAAAATGAAAACAATAGTCCTTCAGGGACAAAGCCCCTTTGGACTTAAAAAAAAAAAAAAAATCTTTTTCCTATTTTTTTATGTTGAATACTGTTGACCTTTTTACTGACTCCCTGCATAATTTTCAGAGAAATATGTTTTTACCTTTTGCAGCAATTCCACTTCCTTGCTTGATTGACATTGAAATACGGAAAAAGTTTTATTTCTCATTTCACACACCAGATGGTAGTACCAGAATAACATATTTATTTTAAGCAATTTTTTTTTATTAAATAACATATTTAGAGATAGTTAGTTTATTTTAAGCTATATGTCAGCACTAATCAAATGTGTATTTATGATATGTATTTTGTAATCTTAGAAGTAGCCCAAATCCTAAAATTAAAAATGAATACATTTATTGTACATACACTTTTTTATACAGTTTTCTTGAATAAAAAAAACAGGCACTTTTATGACCATTTTCTTGAAAATTATCCGATTGTTAAGGGGGTTAACAAGAATTGCTAAATGTTTAAATTCACTAAGCTCCATGGCAATAATGTGCATAACAATTGCACAGCTTTAACAAGCAACATTGCCATTTTTGTACATATTTTGTTCTTTGCCTGCAATGAAAGAAATTATGGTAAAATTTCTACAGCAATACCATGTTTTCCTGCAAACTTGCTAAAGAAAACTTTGAATCTATTTTTAAAGCAACTTCCATGAAATTTTTGCTAGGATAAAAGAAATTAAAACCAATTTGTAAATAGATTTATTGATTGTTTTTCTGAATAAATACTCAATTAAAACATAAAACATGCATGTAATATTTTTCTTCAATTATATGACCTCATTCTTTTTCTTCTGCGTAAAAAACTGCCAGACCATGCCACTAATACAATAGCAGGGTGCTTTTGTGGAGGTCTTTTTAAGGGATACAGGATTGTACTCACGAGTCATGTGGGGTAAACCATTAAAAATCCCAAACAGCCAGCCTATACAGTAGGATCTGAACTATGCTCAAACTGCCAGTATTCGGCATTTTTACTGCTTATATTGGTAGGCCATATTCTAAGAAAATTTGGGTTCATATTCACATCAAAAATCAAATATACCGATATAATCATAGAGCCAGCCAATATAATCAGGGACTGAATCATAAATAAAATACTATGTGTTCTATGGTCACTGTTGGGTCATCACCATTGTATCAACCAAAATTATACAAGGTCACTAGAGATTACTGATACAGAATGTGCACTATGATTCTGAAATGTTTGCAGAAATATATGAAAAACATATTTACTATATAAAAGATTAATATTGCTTCAGACACTGCAGTAATAAAAATTAAATTCATTAATTTTGTTACAGATAATAAATGTTCATGTGGAATAACTGTCATATGATATAGTACAACTGCTAACAATAATGTATGATATGGAGTGGCTTATCAACAGATAATTTATTTTAGGTATGCAGAAGACTACAAAAGAACTGAAAAAGATGTTCTGTTAATTCAGAAACAGAATCAAATCCTTTACCCTACAGAGTAAAAAATGCAATAAATACCAAAGAGACTGATTGCCTTAATAATCGCTAAATTTCAATTAAAAGTTAGTTTTTAAATAAAACTTAAAATAGTTACATATAAACAAAATAACTCTTTAAATCTACATTATCTTTTATTTAAATGAAAAATATGTCATTCAAATAAAAAATAACATATTAAAACTGACAGACATACCATGCCATAAACATTAAAACTGACAGACATACCATGCCATAAACAAACTGCAATATTTTTTTCTCTCTTACTCTCATTTTCAGCATGATTGTCAACATGTCGATAAAAGTGCTCTGGACATTCAAAATCCTCCTAAATACAAGTAAAAATTTATCATTGTACCGTATAAATTTAAAATTACAATATACAAATATTTTTACAACTGTGGTATAATTTTTATTTGTAGTTAAAAGTCTTTTGCAAAAACACTTTAATACACTAGACATAGATACAACTTATATAGCTCAGTGCAGATTCTGTGCTTTAAATTTTAAAATGTACCATTTTTAATACCATATATTTCTGTGTATAAGCTGAAAACTTTTAGAACTTTTTTTAAATTACAGGGAGTTTACACACAGATCCACTAATCTTGCCCCCCCCCAAAAAAAAAAAAAAAACGTAGGTACTTTTCTGTTAACCAAGAGTAAGTAATCGCAGCCAAATATTGCACTTTTTCATTTCTTAACCCATTAACTGCCAAATTTTTTCTCTCAATTTATATTTATTTCTGGGTGTCTAGATTGACATAGAGACTGGAAATTGGAATAAATGGAATATAGATGGAATCTGCCTTAAGACCCAAATGAGGATCAACATTCAAGTAGCCCTCGCCAGCAAAAAAAATTCACATTGACTGTAAATAGTTAGTAAATATATTCTAAAACTATTAGAGAACATGGCAGTACACAGGAGTTGGAAATGATGTACATAATAAGACACATCGCATTTTGAAAATGTTGAAATCTTGAAACTCACAAAAACTTTACTTCTTCTCATAAATAATACTCTCCAACTCACTCATTTAACAACTACTATTCAACAACTCATGCAAAAGCTTGAGAAAGATTTAAAAAACAATGTAAAAAAGTAACCATTGTTGCCAATTTAATTAGTTTCCAAATTTTCCCTACTAAGACAAATCCCCAAAAAGTTAGGTGTGTCCAGGACTTAGAAGAGAAGGTCTAGCTCATAGAGCTTTTTCCCCTGAAGCAGAAAGTGAGATGTGATGACGTAGTCATGATGACACTGAGCGCGCAGATGCAATTCACAGCTTGAAAATTAGCAATTTTGAACCAGCGTTTGAAATGAGCTGTGTGTGAAAGATAGCTATAATTTGGAAGAGACAATGTTACTGCTTTATGCATTTTAGACTGAACCATTAAAAATTTAATATACGTACTCAATTTAAAATAATAGATAAAATGTGCTACTCTTTTAACATAAAGTTCCGTGGGTTTTTTTTCAATTTTATTGCAAGTTTTTTTTTAATAATGAACTTTTATTTCTAATCATTTCTTTATCTGCATGTGAACTGAGAGAATTTTTATACTGCTTTCTAAGATAACTATAATAACAGCTATTTAAATTTACTAAAAAAACAATTTTACATTGGCATAGTTTTAAACATATATGACATATATACAACATTTCTGCTAACCTACGTTTGATTTTTTGCCTAATTGTAAATTTTACATTGTTATAATTCTCTTCCGATTCAATATAATAATTTTTTAAATAATTTTGTAATTTATACTTATATCTATATTACAATTAATAATGTATGTAAGATTGTTACCTTAATTTTGACAAAATATTTACTCAGAGTACCTAATACAGTTATTTTAATTTTTCAAAAGTGTGAGTAAAGGAAGCAAGTCTTTTTATGCCAATTATTTTAATGTTTTATACTATATATTTTATCTAGAATGCTAATTTAGCACAAAAATCTATCAATAATTAGTTACAAAGGATACAATAAGAATAACTTTAACAAGTACTTAACAAAATTAGTTTGTTAAATACTTGTTATTCTTGTTGGTACTATTCATAATACCGAAGATATTATCGATTAACTCATAGAAGTCAGATGCTTTTTGATTTTCCTGTGTGGTGGAGTATACCTTTTGCGGTACTTTTTGAAAATAATGTTTTCTCTGGAGCGACTTTTTTGTCTCTCGTTTCCCTTGACCATTAAATAATTCGGTTTTAGTTTGTGACATAATTTGATTTCTTCTCAATCTCTATTTAAAACCTCTTTAATAATAACAAAATTTAAAACAGTTCCATCTTCTAAAACAAATCCTTTATCTAAAACGTGGTTTCTCAGTAATTTGAGGCAGAGCGCGAAATGAGACCTCTGATTAAAACAAACTGCACATTTTGAAAAGAAACGAGAACTTGGTCCAGCTTAGAGTCATAGCAGAGTTTTCAATCTATATGCATTTCATCGAAACTGAGAACGCATATTTTTTCTACAGAATACAAATATTCGCCTCTTTCCTTATTTAGAGTAAGAACATTACTTTGAATTCTTGGAACTACACTAAAATTTAGCGCCACCATTTCTTTAATTTACTAATACTAGGTAAAGATATTCCAAGTTTTTTTTCTGAATTTTTTTTTCTTTCCAAAAATCGTAGCTTTAAGATGACAGGGCTCTTATGACAATGCAACGTGAAATTATCTCCACTAGTCCACCTGATTTTTTCCTTCTTTTTCAGTAATACATTAATCTGCCGTCTTTATAAAAATAGGCTTTAGACATTTTTTCCAAATTCTCCGATTTGTGCTTCCCCCCCCCCCAAAAAATTTCGCTATTTGAGATTTTAATTTCTGATACCAATTTCTGTCTAGATGTCGTCCACCATCTTTGCCGCTGAACAAACATTCTAAAATTTTTCTTTTCTCTATTTTCAATACTTTAATACAATTTTCTAAGGATATTATTTTGTTCTTCAAATTATCAATGCATTCTTGTTTATCCTTAAACTTAGGGCATTCAGGAATATCTATATTTTCATTCATTTGTGAGTTTTATTTCAAAATCATTAAAATTTGATTTACTATTGTCATCATCAATTTCGATTTATTATTGTCATCATAATTTACTTTCCGCACAGCATTCCATTTCAACAGTTTTTTTTTTTTTTTTTGGGGGGGGGGGGTGGCTATCCAAACAAGCAATTTTTCTTATCATCTTCATAAACACTGCATAGAAAATGTTCTTTGCAGATTTTTCCGCTCTTCGCATTAGTAGAATCTTGTCTTTGACATTTGTGTATCCATTCTTCCGTCAAAAGCAAAACCTCATTTGGATCCTTTGGTCCCATGAAATCTCATACTTTCGTACTTCTGTAAGTGCTACGACAAGTTACTACAGGGCAAAAAGCCATATTACGTAAATGGTACTTTACAATATAGAATTTAAAATAAAAACTGACTAAAATTACATATAATATTAATTATTTTAAATATATACATTATTAGAAAACAGATATATATACGATTAAAATTAATTTGGGATATGTAACCTCTAGAAAATCGTCTCGCAGCTGAATGAAACTACAGTTTTAAACGCAGGAAATCAGAACAGGTGGCATCACAGTGACGTCTGATTACTGCCTGTTAATTTTCCCCATTAGGCTCGTGTCGGCGAGGAGTCGAACACAGAAATGAGCTAGCCCTTTCTATTTATCCCTGGGTGTGTCACTGCAAACATAAAAAACCAGATGTTCATGAAATTTGCATCTCACATTCTCCATTCTCGAACCTGTCCTTCATTTATAGTGAAAGGCCAAGTATTAAAATCTTCCTCAAATGCAATCACCTGAAGTTTAAAATTTACCATAACAGAATTTCTCTTCCTGCTCATCTTTCAGACAGAAAATAAGACTAGCACAGATATCACAGATCAAATACAAGATTATAAATGAATGGCAAAAAATGTGCTAGCTTCAGGCAGGATTACCAGAGTTAAAATTATTGTTTTTGGGCATCTGGCATTTTACTTCACAGTGATTTGATTAGAATGTGGACCTCATGTTTACCTACTTAGCAACATTTTTGCACTCATGGTGACATGTCTGAAGGTCACAGAAATTTTTTTCTCCCATTTTAAGTTATATATGGGTTTTCAATTTTGGGTAAATATTTTTTTTTTAAATGCACTCTCAACTTATATTCGGAGATATATGGTACTTGTTACAAATTTGCCACCAATTTAATTATTAATCAGATGAATAAATTACAAGTGTTATATACATCTACTTTCCTATACAATATATTTTATATGCAAACAGTGTTTTTTTTTTTTTTTTTTTTTTTTTTTTTTTTTTTTTTTTTTTTTTAACTTACAAATCACTCACAGCTGCCCGTAGTTTTATCTATCAGCTGAAATGACATCAAATTTGGTAGGGGGACTAATGACGGCAAGGAAAAAAAAACTCTGTGGGGAAAAAAAAAAATTAGTTCTGAAAGTTTTCAATAGGGATAAAGGTGATGTTTTTGTAGTATCCACAGATGAGAATTAGATAAATAAATAAAAGAAGAAATTTCAGTATGATACTGCTTTAAAGTAGCAAGTGAACTGCCCTAAAGGTTTACAAAGCTGATATTTCAGTGCATCATTGCACTTTAACTGCCCTAAAGGGTTACAAAGCTGAAATTTCAGTGCATCATGGCACTTTAACTGCCCTAAAGGATTAAGCAGATATTTCAGTGCTTCATGGCACTTTAATTACAGCACTTCCTCGGCAAGGGCACAGACCTCTTTCAATGCAATGATTCTTCTTGTGGATTACATACTGCATTCTGTGGACAACATTCTTGATGGCTGAATGTAACATGTCATCAGCAATGTTTAGCATAGTCGGCGATATGCTGTTCTTTAAAATCATCAAGATCGGGACCTCACCATGACAGACCTTAGATTTACACACAAGGGGTTAATACAGGAAGCGAGGAAGCCATGCAAATGGGAAAAATCAACTTATAACACTTTCTTCTGAATAGTGATGGTGCAGCAGCCACTATCCGATTAGACAAATGTGTGGTGGTGCTTCAACTAGCATAAAAGTTACCTGATCCAGGAATTGCCTCTGTTAAAGTTGCGGAATAACAGAACTAGTCAGCATATCAAGATATCTTTATAAGGCAGCAGTATAGGTCCATCATCCTGTTAAAGTAATGTTCTAAAAAATGAATGGTCTGATGATGAAATCTCCTGCAAAGCTACCTCAAACAATGACATCTGATGAATGCTGTAGGATTGCTGTAGGGGTTGTCTGGATGCCAGGTTCAAGAATTATGAGTGTTAACAGTCCTATTTAGGCAAAAATGGATTTCCATCTCCTCACATAATTTTTCTCAGCCAAGCACCATCAAGCTCCATCTTGGCAAAGAGATGTCAGAGCAAACGCCATATTTTTATCATAGTTACGGTGTTTCAATTCCTGCATGCGATTTATATTCTACAGATAGGGAGGTGGAGAACTAGTCACAAGATTTTCCATTCTGTTGAAAGATCAAAATCCAATTGCCGCACTATTCTGTGGGCACAGCTACTACCAGCAAAGGTTCCATGGATACCATCGAATGCAGTTGTGACATCAGTAACTGTCTGTTTTAATACTGGTTTTCTACCTCTACCAGATTGAACTACTACAGATCCTGTTTCTTCAAACTTTTGAATCATGCCTTTCAATGCTAAATTGATAGAGGGCCTTTATATAAGTTAAGACTTCTAAACTCACGAAGAGTGGCAGCTCCTTTTGATTGATGAAGATAAAGTAACTTCACAAGTAACGCTAGCTATGGCAAAAAGTCAGATGCATGTTGAACCCAGCTAGCTAACATTCAAAATGTCATTTGGTGTTCTTCCCTCATCTTAATAGACTGAATCACTGGTGCTGCTGTCATTTGTGTAGTTGTGCATTTGCATTTTCAAACTGTACCTGCTTTTTGTGCAAATTTTCAGCTACATAGACTACAACAATAACAAATTTCTCTCTATCAGTGACTTTTTTCACGGAATCTTTTCTCTGTTATCATCCTTAGACCCTTTACCAAATTTAGTGGTGTTTTATCTGTTAGTAACAGATTGCTCTGAATACTGTGAATTTTTTTTTAAAAAAGAAAACAAAAAAAAATTTTTTTTTTTCTTTTCATTCATATAATCTGTCTTAAATAAACAAACTACATCAAATGTGGTAATATGGATTAACTTGAAACATGAAAAACTTTAAAATTTCGCACTGTAAGGTGGCACACTTTAAAATGGACCAAACTGATCAATTTGACTTAGCAACTTTTATAAGGCATAATTTGGAAGATTAAACTAATTGTATAATGATTTTGATGTAAAATATAATAATTTAATATTCAGTTCATTATGCTAAAACTAAATTTTTAATTTTGTAATTTCCTTCCAATTCCATATTGAAAAAAAAATCTGAACAGGAACAAATTTATCAAAATGCTATTACACATGGTTAAAATATAATTAATAATTATTGTGCATATAATTACAAGAATAAATTAATAAGACATCATTCATGAATTTAAAAGAAAAACTAAATATAAATGTTTACTCATTAAACATTAGTTAAGTCTTCATAAAATGTCCTACAAATCTCTGTTATGGGTTAAAATAGCTAAAATAAAAAATTAGAAAAATTCCCTGAAAATTATTTGATAAAAAATTGAATTTGTATAATTTAAGTTTCATTTAAAAATGACAAAGTCATTGCCTTTGTTTTAAGAATTTGTCATAAAATGTTTTTAGTGACACCTTGTTTTCCTTCCAAAATTTGGTAATTAATAATTTTTCTAGAATTAAATTTGAACGAAATTACTTAAATTCAGATTAATTAAAAACTGGGAGTTTTGGAGATTTACTGGAATGAGAAGAGATGTGATGAAAAACTGAAAATATCCTAGTTTTAATGGAGGGTCAAAAGCTCTGATTAAAATAATTATTTCATATACAGTCAAAAGTCGTTAATCCGGACTCATCGGGACTTCGGCGATTCCGGATTATCGATTTTTCTGGATTATAGCTCATCAGTTTAAATCGCGTAAGATGGCATGCAGAAATTCTAAAATTAAAAATATGAAACCGTAATTTATGAAATAAAGAACAATTATGATCTAAAGGGTATCAAAATTTACAAAAAAAAAGCTTATTTTATTTGTTTACTTTATTAACATTTCTTTCAATGTAAGTTGTTTAAGTTGCTTCATTTTATGTGATAATACTTTCTCTTTAATTCTATAAACAGATATAATTTTTTGTTCACTTACAAAGTTCCGCTGTTCAAGTCCCGTTAATTGCTGTGCCGAGAATACCGACTAACTTGTCAATCGAAATTTTTTCGTTTTCACTAAACTCTCTGTCACATTCTTCATGTCTTTATCCATTTTTTGCAGCAATTCCACTTTTTGTTTGATGTACATCGAAACATAGTTTCGTTTTGTACGATCCTTTGGGAGCTCCAGAATCAAAAATTCTATTTGACATAATCGAAAGTTCCAGTTTACTTTTATAGTATTGCTCTTACAGTGTGCAAAAAATAATAAGCCGGATCCAATTCGAAAATTAAGGAACAACGCAATCATCAACATTAACTGAAATAGATAATTAGATAATTTTAGCTTACACTGTCCGTTATACATAAAACGCGCACGCGAAAACGTATTCTGCGCTTGTGCACACGCAAATGGGCAGTCGTAAGAGGTCTTACGCGCACGCGTAAACGCCCATGCGCATGTGTCAACGCGCCGCATGCGCAGAAAGTTTTTAGCTTTGAGGTCCGGATTATAGATCATTCCGAATTATGGGTGTCCGAATTAACGACTTTTGACTGTAGTTATTCTGACATACTATATTGTCACTGTCAAATGCTACATCTAACTAAATACATTAATTTCTGCTATGATATTACACATTTTAATTATAATTTTAAGGAAGAAATATTGTTAATAGACATACAGAACAATTTTCCCAACAGCAAACTAAGGGCTCTGGGAGTTCTGGTATTATATTACGGCTTTGGATACTTAGAGAACAGTTAGGCATTTTTTTTCTTTGTTGAAGATTTCTGCCATAGCATTTTATTTTAGTATGAAATGCATGCAACAGAATGTGCCTTCTCAGTTCAGGAAGATTTTCTGTAAACCCCTCGCAGTCTTTCCAGTGGCAATGGAGATCACCTGTACCAAAATATATATATATAAATTAAAGTGCCTACAAAAGTAAACAAAAATAATTACTTCAATCAATATTATTAAATGGCATATATCTAAGCAGTTACAATGAAATCAACAAATGATAATTTTAAAAACTTACAACATTGCTTACAATAGCATACAAAAATACAACAGAACTTTAAGCTGCATTTTTTATTCAAATTTTTAAGAAGTAGAGTGCAGCTTAAACTCGAAACAAATATTTGAACATCTTATTACTGTTATTTCCAACTTCCTACATATTCTTGAAGAAATTATCAGAAAGATCTTTTTTAAAATGTTGCATTAATAATTATTTTAATGACACTGAAAATGATGTACTCTAGTACGGCAGTGGAAATGAGAAGTAAAATTCTGTAAGTGAAGATATTGAAAGCGATGGTATATCTAAAGATGATTCTCGATAAATTGCATATTATACACTTGTGCTAAAAAAATAAGCAACAATTGCTAAGAGAAAGGGTACAAATGTAAAAAGGGGGGATTAAAACATACAGTTTACATATGAAGTAGAGGTTACACCAACAAATGCAAATAGGCAACCAAAATAAGCATAAAATGAAATCCCACAGTCACACCACAACTCTTTAAAAAAGGGCATACAGGACTTACATGCCAGTTCACAAGCAGCAATAGTCCCACATAATCAGAGACAGCAAAAGCGAAAAGTATGAATCAAAAACACCATGTGCACAATGAAATGCGTTGGAGGGCTATTGTAAGCTGGTGCAAGACAATCCGCTGTTGCGAGAGAGCTGAATGTGCATCGGAGTGTCATCAGTAGGCTGTGGAATCATTGGAAGGGATCAAAACCTCTGTAGAAGACGTTGGTCTGGAAGACAGAAAATTACCACAATCGCAGACAGTCACTTCCTATTCCTATGTACAAGATGCTGCAGATAGCTAACAGCACAATAGCTGGCAATGCATCTCTCAATGATGTAATTTAAATTTATACGGACCTCCAGTGAAAAGTCAATCACCTTCTGCAATGTTATTTCTCTTTTTTTTTTTTTTTTTTTTTTTTTTCCAGTATAGACACATTTATTGAATATTTTACGCATTGCACTGAATGAAAATCTCAGCAAAATATGGTTTAAATTTCCATACATTTCATCTTCACCACGCAATTTCTTTGAAAAAGTTTTCCACAAACTGATGTTCTTTCTTCTTATTTCCTTCTTTCAGAAATAGTATTTGTTTTCAGTCAAACACGACATAGACAAAAGAATGTCACTTTTTTACAGTTATATTTTCACAAATTTTGTATTCTTATCAAACCATATAAAACTTTAGTTGTATCTTTCATTGGAAGTTGAAAACATTTTATTTTCTAGCTATTTTAACTGAAAATTAAGTTTTAAGCAAACCAGAGGGCACATAGTTGAGTTGAAATGTGCTTAACCTAATCTCATAGAGGAATAACACTTCTCCCTTAACATTTTCGGTCAACAGAATCTAGTATTTATTCTGCCTCACTTGGTGATCCAGTATTAATATCAGATGCAAATATTCTAAATCACATAATTTTTGCAATTTTTAAGACCAATAAACGACATATCACATAGCATATTTTTTTTTTTTTTTGGCTCTACTGTTATATGCGCCCTTAGGGTGCATATATCACCAAATGTGCCGATATGTGTTCTGCGCTGGTTTTTGGCACAATTGCGTGTTGTATGGCAACCCTGTTAAGGTTGAAAAACCTTTTGCTGGAGCGGTTTAATTGTTCGTTGGTTCATGTTGTGCGTGTTTTGATATGACCTATGTTGCAATGATAGACGTGATGCCAAGATTTCAGTCGTGGATTTTAAATTGTGTGCAAAGTAAATTTAGCATGAAAAGAAATAATGTTGGAGTTGTTAACAGGTCTTTTGTTCACGTGTGTGCTTATGTGGATCGTAGTGTATTTTTGGAATTTCTGTGGGAGTCAAGACTTTTAAAATGGAGTTTGGCATGTCTGCAATGCGAAGCTGATATGAGAACTAGGACGAAGAATGATACTTCTGATAGACTCGTGTGGGTTTGCAGTCAAATTGTTGCTGGTAAAATATGTGGGTGTCAGCGGAGTTTAAGATTTGGATCTTGGTTTTCGTGTAGTAAGTTAACGTTGAAGGAAGTTTTTATCATTACTTTCGAAATTTTGAATCAAAGAAAGACATGCGATATAGCAAAATCATGGCACTTTTGTTCACAGACATTGTGCGACTGGCGAAATTTTATTCACGAATGTATGTTGGACTTTATATGCTCTATGTCTGAGAAGATAGAGGGAAAAGATAAAGTGGTGGAAGTTGATGAATCAAAGTTCGGCAAAAGGAAATATCATCGTGGCCATCCTGTTGAGGAGCAGTGTGTATTTGGAAGTGCGGAAAGGGGGTATGGGATATTATTTTTAGTGGCTGTGCATGATAGAAATAAGGAAAACGCTGATGCAGTGTATTAAACAGTGGATTGAGCCTTGGTACAACTATTTTTTTCCGATAGCTTGGAAATCTTACAAGGAATTATAGGAAAAGAAGGTTTTGAACATTTATTTGTGAACCATAGTATGAATTTTGTGGATAGCGTCTGGCTATCACATAAATACCATAGAGAGTATGTGGCGGCATGTTAAAGCTACGTTCTGCCTAGTTCGATCAGAAATGCGATCTATTATAGTAAGTGCATTTTGGCTTGTCTATTGTTTTTACGAAACTCAGGGTTGTGTGGGACCCCAAAAAATCCCCTGAAACTTTACGGACTTACTTACCGACATTTTGGAGTTTCAGAAGGGGGGGGGGCGAGAGAAATGGAAAAATTACAATTATGAAGTATTAAATGACCTAATTATAAAAGTTCAATGGAATTACTTTTTTTGCAAAATTAATAACCATAAATTTTCAAACAGATAAACTACTACATTTTATGTAAATATTTTAAATTACCTGAATTAATTCTTTAAAAAAAAATTATCTAATTTCTGCTGCTTTTTTTTATTTTCTGCTGTTTGTGGGCTTGTCTTCTTTTGTGGTGAACTTCATAATTGCAGGAAGGTTGACTTTTATTTTCCTCATTTACAGTTGAAGAAATTTCCTCGAGAACTGCACATGCAGAGGTAGAAGCAGTTTGCTTTTCTGCTAATGTAGAAGGTTTTCAGAGACTTTTATAGGTGACTCATCTGAAATACATGTTAGTCTGCACTGCATCTAGGGAATCAATCTTAAGAGAGGTTCTATAGTCAGTGACAAGTGTATCCATTAAGTTGAATGCACTTTCCACTAATGGGCCATGAAAGCAGCTAAGGCAGGCTTTGACCAATTTAGCCAATGTAGAATACTTATAATCATTTGTGAAATCATCTTTTAAATTAAAAACTTTAGACCAATATTTATCAATTGTACACTTGACTTGATTTCCTCTTTCATCAGATGTGTAGAGCATTTCTTTGGTGATATCAATATCACTCTGGTATAACCTTATTTCAGCTTCTACTTTTGACTTTTCATTATCACTAAAAATACGGGACATAAAAGATGATAATTTTTCAAAAGCTAATATTGTACTGGTTTTTACCTCTTAGCTCTGTATCTAATGCTGTAAAACTAATTAGATATGAATTTTAAGGGGTAATTTCTGTTTCATATGCTGTGGCTGTATTAGTAATAAAGCTTTCATCAGAGAAATTTGGAATTCTTTTGCTATTGGATGATTTTTTGATAATTTCTTCAGGAGAGTGGAAGCTTCTGCACCAGTAAATATTACTTTGCCAGGTAGATGAAATTCTGGATTTTTGACATCAACCTTTAATAAATCATTATAAGATGTGCACTCTATATTTTCTGGCTTCATAAAAAAAGAGAAAAATTTTGCCATCAATTTATAAATATTGGAATGTATTAAATGAAGCATTGTTTTTTTTTGTTTGTTTGTTTCAAATAATTTAATATATGAGTTGAACTCTGGTAATACTGCTGAATATAATGCCATATGCAATAAAGTTTTGTTTTGCATAACAAATAACCCATTTAGTATTCTTTTTTTCCGAGCTAAAGCATCCTTTGTGAGTTGCTGGGAATGCAAGTAAGAATACAACCCCTTCAACAATTTTTTTCTGAGCTGCAGAAATATTTCTTTTATTGTATACAGTTTTTCAACATAAGAAAAATAATCCCCTTTATCAGTTTTTATCCAAGTAGTGAAAATAAAATGCAATAAGAGCATCCCACAGATCTTTGATTCTTTCTAAAACACATAAAATGTACACCCACCTATGGTCTGGTCTCTTCAAGGGCTTAAGTTTTTTAATGGAAAGGGATTCACAGATTTTGAAAAAAAATTTCTCTTTTACTGCAGCTTTTCATATCAAAATAGATGTCATCAAACAAATCTTCTAAGTATCTATCAAAACATGAAGCAAATTTTTTTGCACAGTTATTAGCTGTGTGACATGTGTCACCATCAATATCTAATAAGTGGGGTGCTTTGTTTGATCGTAGTCTGGTTTCAACACCCTTTTTTTTTCAACACATCGTGTTACATGAGTCCATTAATACACTAATTAAGTTTGCCCATGGAATGTTATTATCTTCAATAGTATTAACAACTGCTTTAAAAACAGCTTCTGAATTGCAAGATTCCATCTTTAGAGATGCAAAATGATGAACTAAAACTTCATTTTGATTGTTGTCATAAAACTGCACCAATATTGCCAGTATACTTTCTTGAGCATTGCTAGTACTTTCATCCAAATTTAGAGAAAATGGAGTCTCCTTTAAAGTTTTAATGATATTTTCCTTAATAGTTTTTGCGAGCCCATATTTCATCTTATAACATGCAGTAGTCCTGGACATATCCAACGAGTTTAGTGCCGTCTAATTGCGGATCAACTGTTTGCAGAGTTCAATTAAATTGGGAGCTACATTGAAAGAAAGAGAATTCTCGGTGATAAACGAAGTTATTAATACCTCTTGGCGTGCTTTTCTTGTCACTATATCCAATGGCTGAGCATCAGTCTCCAGTAAGTCATCAGTATTTTTTGAATTAGCATAATTACTTAAAAGTCATTGAATGTCTAATGCACTTTGAATATTTTATGTGCGTCACAGTTTTAGAATGATTTGTGAAAGCCTTGAATCCTTCCCCACCATACTTCAGCAGCGAGTTACAAAAAACACAATATGCTTGTCCAGCAACATTTATTTTCTTGCACCATGTACCGATGGTATCCCCATTACCATCTCTCCGTTCAATCCAATTCCACCTAAATGCATTCTGGACACCTTCTTCTAATTGTATAATATCACTATTTATATCGAGAAATTTCATAGTGAAATTCTCTTATGTACATAAATAAAAAAATATTTCAATAAACGAAACGAAAAATTTACACGTGCATCAATAAATGAAACGAAAATTTTACACAGCGAAGAAAAAAAAAAGTTGTGAAGCGATCAATGGCAAATAGCTAATACGGCGAAAAATCCCCCTTCTCTACTTATTGGCGCCACGCCAGGAGAGATAAGACCTTTGAACCCAGAGTCACGTGATCGCACATCTGGTCGAACGAAGTCTCGTCCTTTTTTTCTGCCGCGCCTACTTACCGAAAAGAATCCAGAAGAGAATGTCCGAGAACCGGGGGAATGAGTCATAACTCGCAATAAGGAAAGAACAAAAAAGAAGTTTTTTCCCCCTTTTCACGCATTATCACTGCCTTTGAAGAAAGAAAGGAAAAGTTTTCACCACACACACTGACCTTGCATTTTCTGCTTTCAAAGCAAACAAAATTACATATATCAAAATAAATAAATCATTATTATTCCTACTTCCTTTTGAACAACGATCCCCGGAATTTCCGGGTATCAAAGTTCAAAATCCCTGGAGCACAAACACCCCTGGAAACTGGAAAAGATCCTTTTAACAAATTTGTAGAAATTATAAGAACTGTTGAATGGGAAAATTAAAAATTTCTTTGTAGAGTATTTGAAGAAAGTGTTCATGTTTTTTGTTTTGGTGATGTTTGAAATTGATATTTCTGCTGCCAAAAGAAGCTTTCATTACGGTAAGTGCATTTTATTTTATTGTTTTTATTTTGTAGAATGTTATGTTCATTGTTTTTAGTATGAATTTCTGTTGTTATTGTTGTTTTTTGAATTGTCTGTAATTTAGTTTATTTGGTTGATTTGTGCTCAATGCCTAGATTGTGCATTTCATAGATTTTTTTTTAAAGTTTAAACAGAATGCTGTGTACATGGTATTTTTTTAATTTATTTTTGTTATGTTAATTTATTAAAGCGAGGTGGGCGTAGTTCGTAGATTCCTTTGCTGCCAAGATTGAGCAATTCGTAGATGTTTTTTTAAGTTAAAACATATCCCTGTGTACGTGGATTCTTGTCAAATATTTTTGGTTAGAAACTTTACATTTTTGCTATCTAAATTTTTTGTTTTTGTTTCGAATTTTTTAGCTTAAATTGTGTTTTCAAAACGTGGTTTTAGCAATTTTTGGAGACATTTTAGGCATAAAATTCAAAATGTAGACAAAAAATTTAGATAGTAATATGGCAGCATGAAGTTTCTCACCAAAAATGTTTCGCGAGAAATCTGTCGCCGTATTTGGTAACCTGAGGGTGCATATAAGAGTAGTTTCTTTTTTTTTAATCATCTGTAATAGTATGACTGAAAACTAGCCATTTGAAACATTATATGTAAAAGAATTAATATAAAATTTATATTTCATATATTTTTACTAAACGATGAGATATAATCATAACCATCAAAATGTTAGTTTATCTTGTTAAATATTTAGTTTAAAACTATGTGTTACGATGCAGTTATATCGTGCATAAGATTTTCACTCATATGGAATAAAATGAATTCATCCAAATATTCGTCAATTTTCAATAAGCCAAAATTGAAGGAAAACAATTTCTCAAAGAACAAAATATTAAAAATTTGAATTGGTATCAATTTTTAATATTATGTTTCGATATTCCCTTCGACTTACCTTCAAATTTCTAGTTCAGACAATCATTTCATCAAAAATTTTGACAAACTGAAGTTCAAATAATAGAAACTTTAGTGTATATGCACAGTATTCATAGTTTTGATCAATTAATCATTAACGCATGAATAAATATAAAAATATTTTTATGTTAGTTATCATCAATAAAATAAATTTATGTATCAACATCTATAACATAAGCTAACAAAACGGTTCCTCAGTTTTCTACATATAATAGTAAAATAACTTTATTAGCACAAATAATTTATTTGGCATTTTGGTACTATCCTATCAGCAACAACATTTCAAAACCTTCAAAACTTTAACTGGTGAATTTTCCTTTTGATTATGATCTTAATGATGTTTTATGACATAGCATTAAGGCTGTTCCGTAATGATGTTCCTAATGGGAAAAGTACGAAGATTTTTATACATTTTCAGTTGAATTTAGATACTCGACACAAGAATACAATGAAAGTAGTATGATAATCTTATTTTACGACTTACTCTCAACTAAATTTGTAAGATGACACATCCCTAAATGAGAAATGAAACTCTCTATATCTTCCTCTAATCTTCCACAATCTTCCCACTCACAAAGCAGACTTAAGGGTTCAGCTGAAAAACGAACACATTTCTTCTTCTCTTCAAGAGAATTTGCCATTTCTATAAACATAATTTTTACCACTTATTAGGTTGCAACCAGACTCAAAATCATTTATATTTAATAAATGATGAGAGTCTCTTCATTATGAAAGCCTGTGGATGGTTATGTAAATCTATGCAGGATGCTCTTTCCTAAAACATAAGCAAGAAATAAATTATCATCAAATTCTTATAAAACTATTGCAATATGATTCAAGAAAAAATTTATTTGCAGAATATGAAGCAATGTAATGATATGAAAAAGTATTTTAAACTTCAAAAGTATATCGAAAAAAAGGCTTAATGATCACTAAGGAACATGCAATTTGATATTTCATTTACATATATTCAGTTTTGTGAGCTTATTTTACAGGCTTTTACAGTAAAGGAATGATACAAAAGAAAACAGTAAACATGATTTTTTACAAAAGGCAGATCAAGAGTGGTTTAAAAATTTACAAGACATTCAATTTTATTAGGACAATAATTTAAAATATAAACTTTCTTGGTATGAATTCATTTTCATCTGATAAAGCACTCAGGCAAATTGAGTTAAATAACATGACACACATTGAAAAAGAATCTAGGGTAGTGATAACAAAACTTCTAAGCTCGTCAAAATTTGGAAAAATCCTAGCTTAACTCAGGTGTCATGTCACACACAGAATCATCCGTTTGCCATCCCTCTGCCAAGAATGGTCTTGAATGCACCCGAGGTAAGTCAGCATATGTTGACAATGATGAAACAAATATTTTTTTATTATGCAAACTTTTGTCCCAGTTGATGATCCTGGAAACACATGACGTGTGTCACCCAAAATGGGTTTGCGTGTCATAGGTTCGCCATCACTGATCTAGGGAATAACTAAAAAATTTGAAAAACTACATGGATGCTGAGTTTATGCAATTCTTTAACCTGTTATCTTGGCTTTGTGCAGTGGTGATTTTAGTTCCAAAAATTGCTCTTCGCAAAGACAAAATAATAGGTCAAAGAATTGCTAAACTCAGTATCCATGTATACACTAACCCAGTTTCACTTAAAAAAAAAAATTACAGAATTGCACAAACTAGGCATTGCACATTCCCTTGACTTTGTTAATGTACACATTGATATATTTTAACTTAAAAGGTCAAAGGAGCACCCAATTCTAATTAGCATAAAATTTTACACAAAACATAATAAAATTTTGCTTAAGATTTGTAAAACGTTTCTGGCTAAAGCACCGCATTTGAGCCGTCTTGCCTAAACTTTTTATAGCAAAATATTCAAATGACAAGACATGCTTAAAATTTCTCAGCTTTGGATACTCAAGAGAACCTCACATTTTCTTCTAAATGCTTTAATACCGAAAGTTTTTATTTTATGTTACTTTTCATGTGTTATGCTTGTGTAAAATTTCTCATTACGCTTTCTCAAATTAATTATAATATACTTAACATTCTCATCGCTTTATGTACAGCGTCCATCTACTTTAAATTCAATAATTGCTGACAACTACTCAAAATAATATGGACTATTCAAATAATAGTTACGAGCCATCATAAAATATGAGAATTATTCAAAACTTCATGCTTAATAGCTTAATAAAATTCAGTATATTACCTTACAAAAGTAGCAATGCTTCCACTTCATTACAATGCAAACAGTTTGTTTACACTCTTTGCCTTATTCCAACAGAATATCCCCAAGGTTCTTTAATATCCCTACCGAAGAACATGAAGATTCCCTATTCAAATTCTTTATTCCTGCTTTACACAGGTTCAGCCGCACAACCAAGAAGGTTAGAATAGAAGGAGGAGAGGTTCAACTCAAACCATGAATCTTGGTGGCCGATTGTAATGACCGATAGAGGGCATTTCAAATTCGTCTGCAACTGCTAATAGTAATAAATAGCAATAGTAAATAAAAGCATTACTTAATTATTTAAAATGCACATGCACATTTTTGCGGCCTACGGAAACAAATTATTTTAGAGGTTGGAAACCTCATGGTTCTTAGCGCTGTTAATAATTAAGAACACAACGTGAACAGCCGTGTTACAAATAAGAGAAGAATAATATAAATCTGCAAATGCGAACAACACCAGTAATAATTCAACGAAATGAACGCAAGAGGAATGGTTGCAAATTTCAAACAAGCGAATAGGATAAATCCGCTGGGTTACCAGGTTTGAACTATTACCTCCAAAGTTGGCGATGTTTACATTTACCGGGTTCTCTGCGGAAGTGCTTCCATAATATATTTTGATTTATTATCTATACATACAAATCATGCATATTTACTTCCTGAATGTATTTTATATTTTCTGTTTGGTTTACTGTAACATACATACTGACATAAAATTTTGATTGAGAAAAGGTTTCCAAGTTTACTACTCAATAGATGAGTAATTTTTTCTTTCAGGCAAAGGATTCTTTTTTTTTTATTTATTTATTTATTTATTTATTTACTTTATTTTCATACGAGTTTATCACTTTATGAGGAAAAAACCATAAATTAATCATAAACATCTTCAAAAGTTTGTTAATTTTCTACACTATTTTTCTTTCCGAAACGATATTTAATGTCCTCTGACATAAACAGCCTGAAATTTTCAAACAGTTTTTTGGACTAAAGGCTCTAAAGATGAGGATAAATAACATTAATTAAAAGAAAGTTATATAATCTATATATAAAGTTAGTACGAATCATTCATTTTCTCGGCAATGCTTTGCTCCTTTTCCTAAATAATTGAAATTATTTTGTTTGCGATAAAGCGCCAAATATGACACATTTTAAAGCAACCCTATATTTTTGCGCATGCGCAGCTGAACTGTTATCATGGGGAAAAGCACGGAATAAGTCTGTATCACGGAGTATAAGGACTCCGGTATATAATCCGGAGTATAATGACCACGGAATATTAAATACAGACCACGGAGTATAACTCCGTGGTCTGTATTTAACGTCGCGTGTGAATTTGAGTTTCAGAAAGCAGCGCCTCCTTTTACTCTGTATTACGTGAAAGAACATCAGTTAAACAAAAAAGACGAAAGTAAAAGTCAGGTGGCCGCCATCAGTCGACGAAAAAGGTGAGTTTCTGGTCGAAGGTCCAAATCAGGAAAAATTTAATATTTAAGGCATCAAAATCGTGTGCAATGGATTGCAATAATAAGCTAGAAAGGCTGGGTTGTGATAAAATTATAAAAGAACTACCTGCTTTCTAGCAGATGCCAAAAAGTGAAGCAAATGGACGACGAAGAATCGCCCGCCTAATAATTTCAATTGCCCTATCAAACAATTTGAAGTTACTGTCTTTAATTAATAATAAGTAACAGGTTTAAAGGCATAAGATGTATGAAAATTCATACAATAAATTCTAATGCATACAATAAACATTAAAAATATTAAATGTGCTTACTCCATTAGCAAAACTAAATGTCAGACTGAGGCTACAAATGTCCTAGAAGAAATACGTTTAGTATGGGAACTTATTCTGCTTAAGCCAGATAAGCTCTAGGAACTGTGAAGTAAATCTTCCACTCTATACCCAAATGCGATGCCAGCAACTCCCTAATTTTTAAGTGAAAGCGCACATCTGTGTACATGGAGAGAAGAACAATAATGCATAAAATACAAATTTCAATAGTTTAAAATTCATCAATAAAAGGTATGTAAGGTAAAAAATTCAGTAACTTTCCTTTTCGAGCATGCGATAAAAGGAAATGATCAAATCTACGGCCAATTTTTGTGGCGCCATCTAAGAAGTAAAGACTAAATAAATAACTGAAAACGGTAGATCCAAGGCCAACTAGATACAAGCCAAGTAGATAACTAGCTGGGCTTGGTAGATCCCATGTTATATGAATATTAAAGTTAGAATTTAGCGGTTTTGTTCTCTGTAAAATGGGTTCCCGTGCACTTTCTAATGTTAAGCTTTAATCTTTTTAAGACAATTTATTGTTTGAATTATTTGATCATAACACTTAAAATTAAAGCTACTTAATTATTTATCAATCCAATTTCTCCTCAGAGGCAGACTTCGATATTATGACCGGGCTATTGTATAGAGCAACGATGCCTGTTCAATGAAATGAAGCCCGAAGGCACATGATGTAGTGGGCTCTGGACGTGGAGTGAATCTCTGAAGAGAAATCGGAGAATGGAAAAAGAAAAGAAGAGACCAAAAAGGACCAAAGCCAGAAATGAATCAGACAGATGACTCAGTTCATGATGAGAGTTGAAATTAACCAAATATTATACAATGATCCAGCAGATACAATATACAGTCGGTCACAAAAGTATTCGAACACCGGTACCCTATCAGAAAATGACAAGATGGCGTTTTTTTTTCTCTTTCTCTCTGTGTGTCGTGTTATTCCATCCTAGGTTTTCTTCTCCCCCCCATCTTGGAAAAAACTGGAAAAAATTGGTTCACGATCTCTTTTTGAATGGGGAGATGCCATTTTGAGAAAAAGCTGACGACCCTATCTTGGAGAATGAACATGACCGCTCTACACACCCTTTTACTCTCTCTCTCTCTTTTTGAATTGGGAAGCCATTTTGGGAAAAAGCAGACGACCCTATCTTGGAGAATGGAAATGAACGCCTCTCCCTCTCTCTTTGAAATGGGAAGCCATTTTGGGACCCTCTATTCTTGGGGAGGGAGAAAACTGAAGTCTGCATTTCGCTGTCTCTGAATGCGGAAAGCCCTTTTGGGAAAAGCGGACCCTCTTCTTCTGATCTTGGAGAACTGGAAATGAACGCTCTACACGATCTCTCTTTGAATTCAGAAGGTATTTTGGGACCTTCTAATGTTGGAAAACTGAAATGAACGCTCTACACCTTCTCTCTCTCTCTCTCTCTTTCTCTGAAATGGGTAGCCATTTGAAAACTCCCTAACTTTGGAAAAAAAACAGAAATGAACGCTCTACACCATCTCTCTTTGAAAATGGGGGGTGTCATTTTGAGACCTCCCTCCCCTAAACTTGGAAAAAAAACTGAAATGAACGCTCTACACTTTCTCTCTTTGGACATGGGTAGCCCTTTGGGGACCCTCTCCTCTTGGTAGGAAAAAAAAAGAACTGAAGTGAAGGCTCTACACAATCTCTCTTGGAATGGGATCCATATTTCGGGAAACGTGGATCACCTCATGCTGGAAAACTGAAGTGAACCACCAAGATTGGACTCTATATAATATTTTTTTTAATTGACATCATGACCCTCCTCCCATTTGTTATTAAAAAAAATTGTTTTTTTTTTTTGTTTTGGTTTTTATCCCATTTCCGATGTGATTTCAGAAATGCAATTCCATAACAGTTCAATTTCATTCGAGGTTAAATGATCTAAACAGTCTTTGACCCACCCATCCGTATGATTATTTTCTTCTCCTTCCTGTTGCACCAAATTTTGTAAGTCCATATAATCATTCCATACGGGAAGGGCTGGATCCTCACAAGGCTGTCTTGAAACACTTGGAGTCTCTTTGGGATGAGTGGAGGGATCTAGGATGTCTGGACCCGGCTGCGATTCTACCTCCATGATTTCTGGACCCGTTGGAACTTGTTTACCCGGCTGAAATTCTACCTCCATGATTTCTGGACCCGTTGGAACTTGTGAACCCGGCTGTGATTCTGCCTCCATGATTTCTGGACCTGTTGGAACTTGTGGACCCGGCTGACATTCTACCTCTACGATGTCGGGACTTTTTGAAGCTTGTGGACCCGTCTGACATTCTACCTCTACGATGTCGGGACAGGTTAGAGAAGAAGAAGAAGAAGAGGATACTGGAAGAGGTTCTGTCTGTGAGGAGTCCGAAAGAGGTTGCCTGTTTGAACAAGTCGGGGAAGAAGAAGAAGAAGAAGCTTCTGGATTCTGAAGCGGATCTTGCACGCCAGGTAGGTTCCGGTAAGTCGACCGTTTTTTTAAGAGGTAATTTTTTTTCTTCCTCCTCATCTGCAATTGTGATGACTTCAATTTCATTCCGTTGCCGGGTCGATTTTGTTTCGGGAAATAACGGTTTGGTCCAGCTCCTCTTATCATCTAAGGAAGGGATGGGTAAAGGTGGCGGAGGGTTTTCTTCTTCTTTTTCTTGAAACATCATCGGCGATTGGAAAGAAATCTCCTCTTTCAATTGTTTCCAAAGCGAGTACGAGCACCGATCGACGAGAAAGAGACTCTTCTGGGTTGTGACGATGAGATATTGCGTTTTCGGGGGAACGACATAGTTTTGAAAAGGTCTTAGAATATATTTCTTATATTTCATCCTGTCGCTGACTTTAAAACTTCTTTCCTTCAGATTGGGGGACGATGATTCGTAATAGGCGAGAGGAGCGGCTGTGGTTTGAACAATATGAACTTCGTCCTCAGCCGTCGTTCTCACTCCAAACGTAAAATATCGTTTCGTGAGAAAAATATTCTTCCACCGAAAACTCGTGCGCGGATCCTGTATATCGCCGGTCTGTTTGAATGGGCCGTCTCAAAGCTCGATCCATCCGATTCCAAGAGAAGGGAGATTCCTCTTTCGTTTGTTGCGATTCGAATAAATTTCTGTATATATTCTGAACGAGCAGGTTGGAGGATTCGACATCTTGGTTGAAAGAAACGATCGCTTGATGAGGTGGTAAATGCGGAATAAATGTCGCACAATGACACGCCAAAAAAATTTTCAAGTTGGAGATTTGCTTTAGCGTCTTCAAATCCTCCCCGTTCGAAATCCGTTGAGTTGGAAAAACGTCTAATAGCGACATGGCTCCCAATGG